TCTCTGCTTTTTTCCCTGGGTACTGTGCATGAGCCCTGTGTGCATCCTCCAAGAGTGGAGTTTCTGTCTCCCCCACTCCTGTGGAAGTCCTGTGATCAAACCCCGCTGGCCTTCAAAGCCAGATTCTCTGGGGGCTCCTCCTCCAGACCCCCAGGCAGGGGAGCCTGATGTGGGCCTCAGACCTTTCATTCCTGTGCGAGAACTTCTGTGGTATAATTGTTTTTCAGTTTGTGGGCTGCCCACCTGGTGTGTATGGGGTTTGATTTTATCACGATTGTGCCCCTCGTACTGTCTCATTGTGGCTTCTTTTTTGGTAGGTTCCAGCATTTATTTGTCAGTGCTTTGTTCAGCAGTTAGTTGTGATTTTGGTTTTCTCATAAGAAGGAGTGAGCTCATGTCCTTCTACTCCACCATCTTCAAACCCAAAGCTTTTAGAATCTTACTGAAGTTGGTTTATAGGCACCAAACTAGTTTTCCAGGATTAAAAATGTTAATGCTTTAGGTACATATGTATAAAAGCTTTAGTGCTTCCAGTGTGGGAGATAGAGAAGGTCTAAACACTGAAGAGTTTTTTAACTTTAGAGGTATTATGGGGCTAATAAGAAAGAAATGAAAGAAATTGGTAATTTAATTTGCAGCCTTCTAAAACAAACCTAGGAGAGAAAATAGCATTCACTCAGCACAGGCTAATTCCTTTCTGCATCCTTTTCTGCCAGCACAGACGTGGGACTTGTTTGTGGGCCTTGGATGTGCATTTGGGGGAGGTGGGAGAGGGTGAATGCTCCCTAGGCATCTGGCCAGATCTCCTGGTTGAGAAGCAGGTGCAACCCGCCAGTCATGACAACTTCCTAATCAATCAGGGCACAGCCCTGATAAGGCAACATTAGAAGTGAATGCTCACATTTTGGTGATCCAGCCCCTTTTGTTTGGCTGGATTCCTGTACTAAGAAAACACTCTCAATTCCAACTGCAACATTTTAATCCACCAATGTGGTTTTGGGTTTATGGTTTCCCATTCTTTTCACTGCTCTTAGAATTTCACGAAAATAGCTTATGCCATGATGTTGCAAACTAATTCCCATAACTGGATAATGACAAAATTACAACTCATTCATACTACTGATTTCAAAAGTCCAACTGTTACATTAATACTTAAAAAAATTTTTTTTATTGGAGTATAGTTGATTTACAATGTCATGTTAGTTTCAGGTGTACAGCAAAGTGCATCAGTTACTATATCTCATACATATTACATATATACCTATATCTCCTTTTAAGATTCTTTTCCCATATAGGCCATTACAGAGTATTGAGTTCCCTGTGCTATACAGTAGGTCCTTATTAGTTATTTATTTTATATATAGTAGTGTGTATATGTCAATCCCAATCTCTCTCTCCCCCCTCCCTTTCCCCCCGGTAACCATTAGTTTGTTTTCTGCATCTGTGACTCTATTTCTGTTTTGTAAATAAGTTCATTTGTACCCTTTTTTAAGACCATGAATTTAAAAAACTAGGAGAAAAAATTTTTAACTAGCAAAAAAGAACAAAAATCCTCCCATACATTTTTTAAAGGTTGACCTTGACCTTTGTGTAGTGGTATCTCAAAGAAAACATCGTACTTTCAGCAAAAATGGAATATGTACAAAGAGCTGTCACTCACAAAGAGTAACCCCTTCTAACATATCACTTAAGCAACTTTTTTGTGGTAAAATATATATAACCTGATGTTACCATTTTAACGATTTTTAAAAGTTCAATTCAGTGGCATTAAGTACATGCACAGTGTTGTGTAACCATCACTGCTATCATTTCTAGAACTTTTTCATCATCACAAACAGAAACTCTGAACCCATTAAATGGTAACTCCCCAACCCCTCCCAATTTGAGGTATTAGGAGACCTGAATATGCACTCTTTTGAAGAAGCAGGCTGTGAAAGCCACCAATTTGGTCTAGTGCTTCATGTCCACAACTACAGGACCCTAACTAAGAAGGGAAATCCTGTCACTTATCACTGGGCTGGCCTCCCCACTATACCATAAATCTTCAAGGGGCAGGGCAGTGCCTTTCTCATCTTCTTGTCCCAGGGCAAACGTATGCTGAGAGAAGCATTCAAAACAAACCAAAATAACAAAAACCAGATTAGTTCTGAGTGCAGGTGCCTGGAAGAAATGGTCTCCTTGAGCAGTGGCTCTGACACTTCAACCCCATCCTGCTGGCAGCCTGGACTCCTGAAGTAGGAAGCACAACCTTCAGAAGTCATCTGTTGATGGACACTTAGGTTGCTTCCGTGTCCTGGCTACTGTAAATAGAACTGCAGTGAACACGGTGGTACATGACTCTTTTTGAATTATGGTTTTCTCTGGGTATGTGCCCAGTAGTGGGATTGCTGGGTCGTATGGTAGTTCTATTTTTAGATTTTTAAGAAACCTCCATACTGTTCTCCATAGTGGCTGTATCAATTTACATTCCCACCAACAGTGCAAGAGGGTTCCCTTTTCTCCACACCCTCTCCAGCACTTATTGTTTCTAGATTTTTTGATGATGGCCATTCTGACTGGTGTGAGATGATATCTCATTGTAGTTCTGATTTGCATTTCTCTAATGATGTTGAGCATCCTTTCATGTGTGTGTTGGCAGTCTGTATATCTTCTTTGGAGAAATGTCTATTTAGGTCTTCTGCCCATTTTTGGATTGGGTTGTTTGTTTTTTTGATATTGAGCTGCATGAGCTGCTTGTAAAGTTTGGAGCTTAATCCTTTGTCAGTTGCTTCACTTGCAAATATTTTCTCCCATTCTGAGGGTTCCCTTTTGGTCTTGTTTATGGTGTCCTTTGCTGTGCAAAAGCTTTTAAGTTTCATTAGGATATGGGGAGGGAGAAGGGTAAGCTGTGACAAAGTGAGACAGTGGCAATGGACATATATACACTACCAAAGGTAAAATAGCTAGCTAGTGGGAAGCAGCCGCATAGCACAGGGAGATCAGCTCAGTGCTTGTGACCACCTAGAGGGGTGGGATAGGGAGGGAGACGCAAGAGGGAAGAGATATGGGAACATATGTATAACTGATTCACTTTGTTATAAAGCAGAAAGTAACACACCATTGTAAAGCAATTATACTCCAATACAGATGTTAAAACAAACAAGCAAACCCAGATTTCTCTTTACTTAAATGTTGCAATCTGGTTTTAGTTCCAGTCTTTTTTTCCCCATGGGTGATTTTAATGTGGACCTCTCAGGACGCACCTAACCAGCAGATGCACAAACTTTTCTAACGTCTAACTCATCTTCTCCTACTTTCTGTGCTAAGGATTGCCCCTGTGAATGAGTCAAATCCAACAACGCAAAATACTTAAAGAATTTTTAGAGGATGTTTTAAGGCATAGTGGCTTCTACTAAAGAATTTGTGCTTTTCCTGTTTTACTGAATTTCATTGAGGGGGTAATTGTCTATTGAAAGTACTAAGTAAACTGAGGAACCATGGCGATAAATTTTTAAATCTTAACCTTTTAAAACCGTTAAACCAGTAACATAGGAATATTAGGTGATCCTATTTTTCCTGTGTTTTATTTATAATGTGAATTCAGCTTATTATTCCTCTCCCCCTTTTTCACTTCAAAAATCGTTTTAGTAGGAATAATTGGCTGAAGGGACTAGAAATATATAAAAAAAGGAAAACAGGTAAGAAAAGAACTGAAATTTGAAAGTAGATCAACGCTTAAAGCTGTGGAAAGGAATGCACAATCATTGGTATGCAGAATAGATAAAAATGCCCAACACTTTTGCGTGATCGGCAGTGGAGGGAAGCAGGGCACAGAACTGGGAGGAATACGTGGGATATCAGTAAAGTTCTACTTCTGAAGTGCAGTGGCAGGTTCAGAGTTATTTCACTTTTTATTCATGCTTGATAACCTTTGAACATTCCACATAGTCTTCTGTATGTACCACACACACTTGACTAAAAAAAGTTAGCACCTAGAAATTTCACCCAAATAGGTCTATTAATCAAGCTGCTATGCTACCTGGTAACTTTTGGAAAATTCACACTCTCTCCCTAACATGAAAATGGTAAAGGACACAGGCATTGTGCTCAGCTAGACCTGGTTTTGATTCCAGCTCCCCTGCTTCACAGTCTCCCTGAATGTTTCCTCATGCACAAGTGAAAGTGGATTACCTACTCCCTGTACTTCATCTATTGAACTCAAATACTTATCATCATTATTATTAGTTAGTGTGTCAGAAGTTTTAAAATGGGAACTTTCAGTCACTGGCTTCATCTTAAACTCTAGGAACAATGTTTTTTTTGGCAGGATGATAGTATTTAAAAAGAGCAAGTTTCCTGTGGCATGCACTGAGCTTTCTGTATCCTAACAGCTGTACTGCTCATGAGAAGTTAATGATGTTATTTCTCACTGAAACAATATGAATCAGACCTCATATTATTTTTTTAAAAAGGATTATGCTATAGATACAGTGAGTTGTGCCCCGCCCCCGGCAAATTCATACATGGAAGTCCTAATCCATAGTATCACAGAATGCATACTTGGAAAAAGGGTCTTTAAAGAAATAATTGGGTTAATGAGGGCATTAGGATGGGCCTTAATCCAATATGACTGGTGTCCTCCTAAGAGGAGGAAATCTGCACAAAGACATATACAGAGGAAAGACCATGCAAAGACACAGGGAACGGACGTTCATCTAGAAGCCAAGGAGGGAGGCCTCAGAAGAATCCAACATGGCTGACACCCTGATCTTGGACTTCTGGGCTCTGGAACTGTGAGAAATTAATTGCCTGTTGTTTAAGGCACCCAGTCTGTGTACTTTGTTATGGCAGCCCTAGCAAACGAACACATGTGAAATGTGGGAAATTTGGTTAAAATGCTAGCAAGTTTTTGCTAAGTGACTCGACAACCATTTTCAGTATTCTTGGCTGAAGCTTGAATTACAGTGAGCAGAAGCTGGGGATAAATGAACTGTCCTATTTATAAGCGCTTAGCTGCTTACCTTTTCTTGGTGTGTCCATTTGGCTTCTCATCAGGAGGCAGTTCAATAATGAGCTGACAGGACTGAGCATGATCAAAGTTGTTTGGAGTCTTTGGGGAGCTCTGGGTGTCCAACATAAACACCTGCACACATATACAAAGGTACAGGTCAGAGCGCCACCATCCTCGACCTGCCTCCGCCAGGGATCAGCTGGATGGCCTTCAGCAAGTGGCTCACTCTTTCTACTCATTTTTTCACCTTTAAAATGAGGTTGGTAGTGATTTCCTACTGGTATGTTTGTTGAGAGAATTAAATGAATTAATATGTGTGTACTGACATATGCAAAGCATTAGAACAGAAAAGTACTCAATAAAAGTTAGCTGCTGGCACGAATAGTAATAACACTACTGCTTCTGCCACGTGACAAGTCATTACACGCCAAACAGCAAGGACTGACATTTAATGTTGTTAAGAGTAAATAAAAAGGGGCTATGTTTGTAAGAGGTCTTCTCTGCTTTAGACGTCCGTTTGGTACATATTCTAAACCACGCAGGAACAGGAAACTAATTGGGGCTGCTGCTGTGGCCATGCTGCTCTATTAACAGCCAATAGGAGAAGTGACTTAGAAAACAGTAGCCACTTCTCGGATTCTGATCCAAATGATTTCATTTGACATTATTTAATATACCTTCACTACTTCCCTTTGGAAACCTGAGTATTCTTAAGGAATTTTTTCTTTCCAAATCTTGTTAAATTATCAGATCACTGAATACTGGGTTATCTGAAGTGTAAATATGGGAGAAGGTTTGGGACTGAAGAAGAAAGTAATATGAAGAAATGAAAGATTCACTAACTGTTTTCTGCGGTTCTTCTCCACTGACTATTTCAGAACAGGATTCCATTCTCATATTCTTGCTGTGGGTGGAAAGATTGCTGGATGCACATGGGGAAATTCCTCATCTAGTCAGCTGTGAAGGCTTTCTACTTAGAGAGGCCACCCCTTCAGAGGAGGACCACCCTCTTGCCTTCTCTGTTATGGTTCCTGGCCAGAACCCGTGTCCGGGATGTTAGGAATGTGCTCAGCAGATGTGAGCAATTGAAGGTGGGAGGTTCTTGTCCCACTCTCTGAGGAGAGCTGGGGAAAGCGCTTCAGAAGCCAGACCTGGCAGGAAACTTCTCGACTAACAGGGTGAACGTGACTGAGTTCTTTTTGTTGATAGGGAATCCTGGGTTATCAGTGTGCTAAGGGGAAATTCTGTTAAGGACTTCTGTAATTTAGTGATTCATTGATTCAAGAAATATTTAATAAGTGCCTTCCATCTGCCCTGCTCTAGGACTACCAATATACAGAATATGTTCTCTGCTCCTGGCTCATCAGCTTACAACCAACTTTTGTGACTTCTGCCATGTGTCAGAAGAAAAAGTCATTGGTACATGGTGATTCCTGCACGGTAAGTACATCTTAATTTTACTGGTTAGTTAACATTCAACTCAAATTTATTAAACAACTTGTAAATGTTAAGCTCTTTGCTGTGTATGGGAGATACAGGAAAAAAAATAAGTTTACCATTTTTAGACACTCATAGTCTAGCATTAACAATAGTATTTCAGTAACTATTTATAACGTAAGTAGTGCAAGTCAAGTTATGTATGGAGTGCAGCGGCCGGGTGGAAAAGGACCCTATTTGATCAGGGTATTGCAGGATGCAACAAGCTAGAAATGGTGAGAGGACCATGATGCTGTTGACTAGGTTCAAGTGATTTCTGGAAAAGAACAGCACTGGCTAGAGCTCAGAGCCAGGACACATATGTCCCTAAAGGAATGAAAGGCAGTGTGGTGATGCACGGCCTTCAGAAACGACCCCTAGCAATATCTCAAGCTTCCAGAGACCCTGGGATCCAAAACCCCATCCTTACCTGCTGAGCCATGGCTCGGATGCGCCAGTACTCGGCCTCAGCACTGGGGGAGGAGGATGGAGCCGCCACCCTCACCTGGCAGCCTTCCCCGCTGAAGCTCTCGGTGCCACTGTGGAAGCAGCCCAGCAGATCCTGGGGAGAAACACAGCAGTCGTTCACTGGGTGCACCTGAGTTCATGGCTCCAGGCCCTGTCTTTGATCTGCCACTGTCACTGTGTCTGGGACAAAGTACTGATCCAGCTACCTTGTTCCCACCAAGTGAGACCGCCTTCTACAAGGAGGGAGGCGGAATCCAGGCGACCCAACTTGAGGATCACCAGGAAGGCTGGAGGTGCCCCGGTCTCTCCTCTGAGTGACTTACCTTCACCGGCTTGAGCGTGGCCGAGAAGGCGTCCTGCAGGGCACAGCAGGCCAGCCTCCACATCTCCTCTGTGAACACGGGGCCCGCTGTCACGAGGACGTACCTGCCAGGAGAAAAAAGGAAAGAAGTCTTGAATTCATGTATTTTATTGTCACAAAAGGTAGGTAGGTCCTTCCAGACGCGTGCCTAGATTTAGTCTATAGTTCCCTTACAAGTCTTGCTGTCTTTTGTCACTCTTGCCTTCGGCCCATCTGGTATGCCATTGTCCTAATACTATTTCCTAACCCATTTAATGTAAAAAAAAAATATCAATGGAGCCCCACTACAAATAGGCTGTTTAAACTTAGGCTTGCATGTATCATATTCTATACTAATTTTCCCATTCCAGCCCCATTTGCCACTACTCTACACTTAACAAGATAAAACCCTCTTGTCACTTGTAACTCTTATCTCCGTGTATGTGTTCATGTTGTTCTTCTGCTTACAAAGTCGCCCCCTCTCGGAAGCTAACCCACCTTGGGAGATCTGACCAAGTATCATTACTACAAAAGGTCGGGCTGACTGCTCTACTCCCCAGGCGTCTCGTCCTTTCATGGCATTTATAGTTCCTCCTTCCTATTATCACTTTTCCCATGACTCTCTTTGTCCTTTAGAACAGGTTGTATGCTCCCTGCGGGTAGGGACCTTGGTCACATCCCTTTCTGGGCAGCAGAGCACCCTGTCTAGTGACTTACACAATAAATATTTGCTGACTGGATGAAATGAAGAGTTAGTAGCACAATCATTTCTATTTATAAGAAGTAGACTGCTACCATCAAAGAATTTAATTCCCCTGGATTTCATAATAAAAACTCCAGTTTTGTGGAGAGCCAGGGAACCTTTATGTCACCTAATACAGGAGCAGCCCACTCGGGAGATGGTTTCTGTGGGCTTGGCCACACACGCCACCAGCAACTCAAAGAGGTCCTTCAGCATGGTGTTGAGCATGCTCTCGTACCTGATGTCTGCAGGAAAATCAAAGCAAGATTGCACTCAGCGGTATTGCAAAGGAACGGGCTGGACAGCATCTATACTACAGCAAAAGAGGAAAGGCTAAATGATACAAAAAATATACAAGTATCTGGGAAATAGAACAATGAGAAAAATGGCCATAACAACAAAAATAAAACACTCATTATAGCAAAAATTATCTTGGTTTTTACCTAATTTTAGCTTGTTTCATCCATTTCTAGATATATCAAGATGAAATGCATGTGGCTCACTTTAATGTGTTGATGTACACTTTTCAAAGTATATAATTCCTCTGCTTAAGCAAAATAGAACACATACTATTATACAGCCTGAATACTAGCTAGTAAAAAATTTTAATTCTTAAAGGGAAAGATAAAACAAACATTCCTTACGGCTGATCGTTGCATTAGATTGAGTTAAATGCTCTTAGTAAACAAAAAATCTTCTCATACCAACTACCACTTCTTGAACCTTTTCAGTTTGGCTTCAGTCTGCATGCTGTCCCCAGACTAAAGAAAATAAGACCTCCCCAAATCACATTGTTTGCCCAGTTCAAGGAATACGCCAGTGTTCTTTTCCACAAAGTCCTTGCGATGCCACAGAACCAATTCTCAGTGGAATCCTCAAGGGTCCTGAGCTGTGCAAAGCCAGGACCTGGACAGAAACTCTACCCCTAGGGATGCAGTTAGTGCCTGCATGTGGAACTACCCATTTTTCTTCTTTCTCGATCGGTGTGTTTTTTGCAGGGCAAATTGTCCTTACTAAGCTTAGTGGAGACCCCCATTTCTTATCTTTGCTTTTTGACTCTTCCTTGGGGTCAAGTTCTCATGAGTTCCTCTAACCTCGCCAACAAGGGAGCCTCTGACCTCCCCTTTTCCCTTAAACTTCTGTATGTCTTTCCCTTTTATTTGTAACCTTTAGGGCTAGCAGCAAGATTCCTCCTGCTCCCAAATTTCCAGATCTTTCCATGGCAAGTATCTGTTTCACAAATGCTGCTCCACTGGTACCACAGCTGACATAACAGCTCCCTCTCTGTCTGCTGACTTCAGCATACTATCCACCCCACACTTCCAAATCTTTTTCAAAGTGCCACAGATATGACCCCCCTCTTCCCCCCTAATCTGTTAAGTAACCTCTTGCCCATAATCTGAGCCTTTTCTAAAACCCTGCCTCTTCATTTAGCCTCCCCAGATGCAGCAGGACCATAGGATACACTCTCTCCCTTACCCCCCAGCCTAGAGGGGTATTTCTTCTTTTTTAATTTATTATATACTTGAACTTGCCTCCCCTCTCCTAATGCACAGATATCCTAGACCTCATTAGGTGTTTTATTTTTAGTCACACATGTATTTTAAGCATTCTGTTTGATAATTTTGTAGAGGACACAGGGGTGCCAGTTTTCTTCTTGACAACCTACTATTAGAAGGCTGGCACTAACCACGTAATTCTATTTTAATAATTCCCAGGACAAAAATCATGCACTGGTGTTTACTAAGCACTTCTAGACAATGCTGCTGTCTACTAAACAACGACTCAGCATGAGCTGCTCTGGCACCATAGATACCTGAGTGGATGAAGCTCTGAATGTGCTCCACCACCAGCTCACAGGACAGACCAATGGCATGCTTGAAGTTAGCAGAGGCCACGTCCCAGTAAGAATGGTCTTTATGGCTACGGCGAAGCCAAAGGGACATCACAGGAAGGAGAAGGTGAACAACTGCATAGATGCCAAACCCTGGTCCTGAAAAAGAAAGGTCAGCATCAGAATTGTGACCTTAGCACCTCTCCTGCAACAGAATGGCAGTGCCAAGTGACGGCAGAGAGCTTCCCTCTTCTTTCCTCTTTCGCAGGAGCTCCCCATTCTGAGAAGGAGCAAGGAAAAAGAATTTACCACTGATTGGGAAATATATTGGAAATATATGGTCTTTGGTGACATTTTTCTTTTTTGTTTCTGCATGATTTTAATTACGTAATACGTAAATACACTCGTTAAAAATTCAAACAATACTGATAAAGCTAAAGTATCACTTGATCAATTCCTTAGTCCCCATAAACATACAAATACACATATAAGAAAAAGTTCACCCTTTGAACTCTATGTATATTATATGAAACTAAGAGTACATATATTTATAAGAAACAGAGAAAGAGAGATTTTTTAAAATTACTTTTATATAAATGGGATAAGGTAAACCTTGGTCTGCATGTTGATTTTTTGCCCATAACAGTTACAAGTTAGAGATCATTCTGTGTCAGCAAATTAGATATTCCTCATTTTTATTACCACATACTGTTCCAAACTATTCAAACTGTATATGCATTAGTTTACTTATCCATTCCCTTACTGATGGAAATTTAAGATGTTTCTATATTTTGCTTTATGAACAACACTAATAAAAATATTTGTGGAAATGTTGATGGATTTTTAAAATTCTGACTACAAAAGCAAGGTATCCTTTTCATAATAAACACAGAAAATGAGAATATAAAGAAGAAGAAAATAATATTTTGATGTATTTCCTTCTAGTATTTTTTGAATGTATTATCTTTGGGTGTATGTGTATATTTATCAAATGCTTCTCATAAAGTTGAGATTGTACTCCACGCTATATATATTTTAACATAATGCCCTATAAACAATTATTGATGTCATTAAATATTCACAGATATTCATTTTAATGCCTGTAGATATTTACATGCTTTTACCGTAACTTATTTAACCCATTTAGGGTGTTCATAATTATTTTGGTATTCAAGATGCTTCATCAAACATCATTATATACAGAATGTTATATTCATTACTGTTAAGTTCCTTTGATAGATTTCTAGGAGTAGAATTATTGGGCTAAAACGCTCTTCATACACACTTAGTAGTAGAAAATGATACTGACCAATAAAACAGATTTAGAAATAGTGGCATATAATTAATTCTATAAGATATCTGCTTATTCTTGGATAGAAAGTCTTTAAATTTTTAATGTGTAGGAGTAGCTATAATGGTGTTCCTGAAAAAAATTCTGATATAAACTTTGCTATGGATCTTCAAACAGTATCACTTATCAAGTCTTCATCAGTTTATACTGAATACAAAACTCCTCTTATTACTCGAGAATTAAACTAGTGGTTTCATTTGTGGTTCTGATTCTGTTAGTGAAAACTAAAATTTCTATAAAAAATTTCTCCGATCTTGGGAAAATTTGATGAGTAAGTGTGCATGCTAACCTTGACTAATTCAGAACAAGAAATAAATTCCCAAGGGCCATTTCCTGTACTATCAGGAACTCACTAGATGTCTTTTCCCAAATATAATCACCTATGACCCTTATACAATTAAGATGTTGCTGTCTTCATACCTTTGAGTGGTTGGTTCATGTCAGTGGTAGACCTGTTAAGCCCTACTGACAGCCCTGGGGCCAGGAGTATATGAGACCCAGCCACAGAGGAAGGCTGTAACCATAGAACAGAGCAAAGCCAACTGGCTCAAGGGGACATTGATACCACAGCATTGGCCTGAATGTAGTGGGGTTCTACACATTCACCTACCTGGCCACCACCCATTATTTATAAATGGACTGGTGGGAAACCTATAAACAATACAAGGACATGTCTTAAATATTCAACAAATATATATATCGAGCATCTATTATGCTCTCTGGGGTTACATCAGTGAAATAGACACTCATACAAATACCTTCCTGAAAAAAGTTACATGTATAACAAACTCCCTCAAAAGACAGACATAGAAATATTTACCAGGTGTTTTGGTAACATCTCTCAACAGCTCAAAGAGCAAATCCAAGGTCGGGGGCTGGTGCTGACGTGGACAGTTAGACACAGCTGCTGTGAGCTGCTCCAGCAGAATGATCCAGACTTCTATCAGACCTGGAAACCAAAAGCAGACCTCTGTGAAATTCAGTCAAACATGATACAGAATCATCACAAGACCAAACTAAACACTATATATAAAAGGCTTCTGAAAACTACCAAGCGCTATATGGATATAAGGCATCACCCTGTAAGGTAGCCCTCAGTGCCTATAAGCATGGATTAAATGATTTACATGTTCTGACAAAGTCAAAGAAAAAAAAATACTGTTCAAGTGTCTTCCTTATTCCCCTTCAGGAGGAAGGTGATGTGGTATGTAAATTCTACTATATGAAACAATTGTTAGATTCATTGGAAGTTGATGATAGCAAAGTAATCATATCCTTTTAATTCCATCACTTTAATCCTTTTTTAAGAAATTATAAATATATATAACAAAAATTGCCATTTTAACCGTTTTTACATGTGTAATTCAGTAGTATTAATTACACATATGATGTTGTGCAACCATCATTACTATTAATTTCCAAGACTTTTTCATTACCTCAAAGAGAAACTATAACCAGTAAGCAACAACTCTGCATTCTCCGCATCACTCCAGCACCTGCTAACCTGTGTCTGGCTTATTTCACTTAGCATAATGTTTTCAAGGTACATCCATGTTGTAGCATGTATCATAACTTCATTCCTTTTTATGGATGAATTATATTCCATTGTATGTATATACCACAGTTTGTTTATTGAGGTACAAAAGTATCTAGAGTAGAATATGCAAAATAGCTCACTCTGTATCTTATTTTAATACTTCCAATTTTCCAGCAAAAGAAAACTGTATGAGAAGATGCAACGTTGAAATACTCCCATTAAAAAAAACCTACTTCCCCAATTTTGAATATCCCCATTAATAAGAGCCAAAACCAAAGTCATACACAATAAATATAAGAAAACCAGGTGACAAGAATTTCTCATGAACCTCAAAATATAAGTGGGGGTGGACAAGCTAATTAATAGGATATGCAGGGGAAAGAAAAACATGTTATACACTACTGTAAGGGGAGCAACCAATAAAATCCAAGCGGAAAACTCTACGTGACAAAGAACCTCTCTTCTTCAACAAATAAATTGCAAAGACGTAAAAGAGAGATGGAGAGGAAAATCTATAGACTGACAAGGACTTAAGAGATGGAGCAGCCACACATGTAGTGTAGATCTTACATGAACCTTGAAAATTAACTGATATGTATAAGAAAACTGGCAAATTGGCTATAAGTTAAAAATAGCTGAAGCCACCTTGGACGTGAATCCAGGCCTGTCAGGCCCAGGTGGAGTCCCTGGCATGCTGGGCAGCGCGGGCGGTGCAAATGGCCTGGCTCTGACTCTGAGAACACCAGGCTGCCCTGTGCACCTGAGGCCACTGCCGTGCCCCTCCTGCAGCCCTGGGTCCCCATTGCCGTGCACCAGCCAGGCAGTTCCAGGGATTTGGATGTCCGTGTTTTGGGGTGACCGTTACTTCACCTGCCGCATGCTTGCGGGATCTTGGTTCCCAGGCCAGAGGTCAGGCCTGAGCTCCTGTGGTGGGAGCTCCGAGTCCAAACTGCTGGACTAACAGAGAACCTCAGACCCCAGGGAGTATCAACTGGAGTAAGGCCTCACAGAGGTTCTCATCTCAGCACCAAGACCCAGCTCTATCCAACTGCCTGCAAACTCCAGTGCTGGATGTCTCAGGCCAAACAACCAATAAGACAAGAATACAGAAGCACCCATCAAAAAACAAAATTAAACGACAAAAAAATTGTTACAGACGAAGAAGTAAGGTAAGAACCTACAACACCAAATAAATGAAGATGAAATAGGCAACCTACCTGAAAAAGAATTCAGAGTAATGATAGTAAAGATGATCCAAAATCTCAGAAACAGATGGAGAAAATACAAAAAACATTTAACAAAGATCTAGAAGAACTAAAGAGCAAACAAACAGTGGTGAACAACACAATTACTGAAATTAAAAATACTCTAGAAGGAATCAATAACAGAATAACTGAGGCAGAAGAACAGATAAGTGAGCTGGAAGATAAAATGGTGGAAATAAGTGCCAGGGAGCAGAATAAAGAAAAAAGAATGAAGAGAATTGAGGACAGTCTCAGAGACCTCTGGGACAACATTAAACGCACCAACGTTCGAATTATAGGGGTTCCAGAAGAAGAGGAGAAAAAGAAAGGGTCTGAGAAAATATTTGAAGAGATTATAGTTGAAAACTTCCCTCACATGGGAAAGGAAATAGTCAAGTCCAGGAAGCACAGAGAGTACCATACAGGATAAACACAAAGAGAAACATGCCAAGACACATATTAATCAAACTATCAAGAATTAAATACAAAGAAAAATATTAAAAGCAGCAAGGGAAAAGCAACAAATAACATACAAGGGAATCTCCATAAGGTTAACAGCTGATCTTTCAGCAGAAACTCTGCAAGCCAGAGGGAGTGACAGGACATATTTAAAGTGATGAAAGGGAAAAAACTACAACCAAGATTACTCTACCCAGCAAGGATCTCATTCAGATTCAATGGAGAAATTAAAACCTTTACAGATAAGCAAAAGTTAAGAGAATTCAGCACCACCAAACCACCTTTACAACAAATGCTAGAGGAACTTCTCTAGGCAGGAAACACAAGAGAAGGAAAAGACCTACAATAACAAACCCAAAACAATTAAGGAAATGGATTGGAAGGAACATACATATCAATAATTACCTTAAATGTAAATGGATTAAATGCTCCAACCAAAAAACACAGACTGGCTGAATGGATACAAAAACAGGACCCATACATACGCTGTCTCCAAGAGACCCACTTCAGACCTAGGGACGCATACTGACTGAAAGTGAAGGGATGGAAAAAGAGATTCCGTGCAAATGGAAATCAAAAGAAAGCCGGAGGGACTTCCCTAGTGGTGCAGTGGTTAAGAATCCGCCTGCCAATGCAGGGGACACGGGTTCAACCCCTGGTCTGGGAAGATCCCACATGCCGTGGAGCAATTAAGCCCATGCATCACAACTACTGAGCCTGTGTTCTAGAGCCCGAGAGCCACAACTACTGAACCCACGTGCCACAACTACTGAAGCCCGTGCGCCTAGAGCCATTGCTCTGCAACAAGAGAAGCCACCTCAATGAGAAGCCCGAGCACCGCAATGAAGAGTAGCCCCCACTCGCCACAACTAGAGAAAGCCAGCGCACAGCAACAAAGACCCAACTGAGCCAAAAACAAATAAATAAAAAGTAAATAAATTAAAAAAAAAAAGAAACCTTGAGTAGCAATTCTTGTATCACACAAAATAGACTTTAAAATAAAAACTATTACAAGAGACAAAGAAGGACACTACATAATGATCAAGTGATCAATCCAAGAAGATATTAGAATTGTAAATATTTATGCACCCAAAATAGGAGCACCTCAATACATGAGGCAAATGCTAACAGCCAGAAAAGGGGAAATCGAAAGTAACACAATCACAGTAGGGGACGTTAACACCCCACTTTCACCGGTGGACAGATCATCCAAAATGAAAATAAATAAAGAAACACAAGCTTTAAATGACACATTAAACAAAATGGACTTAATTGATATTTATAGGACATTCCATCCAAAAACAACAGAATACACTTTCTTCTCAAGTGCTCATGGAACATTCTCCAGGATAGACCATATCTTAGGTTACAGATCAAGCCTTGGTGAATTTAAGAAAATTGAAATTGTATCAAGTATCTTTTCCAACCATAACGCTATGACACTAGATATCAAATACACGAAAAAATCTGTAAAATATACAAACACATGGAGGCTAAACAATACCACTACTAAATAACCAGAGATCACTGAAGAACTCAAAGAGGTAATCAAAAAATACCTAGAAACAAATGACAATGAAAATACGATAACCCAAAACCTATGGGATGGAGCAAAAGCAGTTCTAAGAGGGAAGTTTATGGCAATACAATCCTACCTCAAGAAACAAGAAAAATCTCAAACAACCTAACTTTACACCTAAAGCAATTAGAGAAAGAACAAAAAAAACCCCAAAGTCAGCAGAAGGAAAAAAGTCATAAAGATCATATCAGAAATAAATGAAGGAAACAATAGCAAAGATCAATAAAACTAAAAGCTGGTTCTTTGATAAACAAAACTGATAAACCATTAGCCAGACTCATCTAGAAAAAAAGGGAGAAGACTCAGATCAACAGAATTAGAAATGAAAAAGGAGTGGTAACAACCGACACTGCAGAAATACAAAGAAAGGATCATGAGAAATTACTACAAGCAACTATATGCCAATAAAATGGACAACCCGGAAGAAATGGACAAATTCTTAGAAAAGCACAACCTTCCAAGACTGAACCAGGAAGAAATAGAAAATATAAACCAATCACAAGCACTGAAATTGAAAGTGTGATTAAAAATCTTCCAACAGGGCTTCCCTGGTGGCGCAGTGGTTGATAGTCCGCCTGCTGATGCAGGGGACACGGGTTCATGCCCCGGTCCGGGAAGATCCCACATGCCGCGGAGCAGCTGGGTCCGTGAGCCATGGCCGCTGAGCCTGCGTGTCCGGAGCCTGTGCTCCACAATGGGAGAGGCCACAACATTGAGAGGCCCGTGTACCACAAAAAAAAAAAAAAAGTCTTCCAACAAACAAAAGGCCAGGTCCAGATGGCTTCACAGGTGAATTCTATCAAACATTTAGTGAAGAGCTAACACCTATCCTTCTCAAACTCTTCCAAAATATAGCAGAGGGAGGAACACTTCCAAACTCACTCTATGAGGGCACCATCACCCTGATACCAAAACTAGATAAAGATGTCACACACCAAAAAACTACAGGCTGGTATCTCTGGTGAACACTGATGCAAAATTCCTCAACAAAATACTAGCAAACAGAATCCAACAGCACATTAAAAGGATCATACACCATGATCAAGTGGGATTTATCCCAGGGATGCAAGGATTCTTCCATATATGTAAATCAATCAATGTGATAAACCATATTAACAAATTGAAGAATAAAAATTATATGATCATCTCAAGAGATGCAGAAAAAGCGTTTGACAAAATCCAACACCCATTTATGATTAAAAACTCTCCTGAAAGTAGACATAGAGGGAACCTAAGTCAACATATTAAAGGCCATATATGACAAACCCACATCCAACATCATTCTCAATGGTGAAAAACTGAAACCATTTCCTCTAAGATCAGTAACAAGACAAAGCTGCCCACTCTAACCACTATTCAACATAGTTTTGGAAGTTTTAGCCACAGCAATCAGAGAAGAAAAGGAAATAAAAGGAATCCAAATCGGAAAAGAAGAAGTAAAACTGTCACTGTTTGCAGATGACATGACACTTTACATAGAGAATCCTAAAGATGCTACCAGAAAACTACTAGAGCTAATCAATGAATCTGGTAGAGTAGCAGGAACCAAAATTAATGCACAGAAATCTCTTGCATTCCTATATACTAATGACGAAAAATCTGAAAGAGAAATTAAGGAAACACTCCCATTTACCACCGCAACAAAAAGAATAAAAAACCTAGGTATAAACCTGCCTAACGAGACAAAAGACCTGTATGCAGAAAACTATAAGATACTGATGAAAGAAATTAAAGATGATACCAACAGATGGAGAGATATACCATGTTCTTGGATTGGAAGAATCAACATTGTGAAAATGACTATACTACCCAAAGCAATCTACAGATTCAATGCAATCCCTATCAAACTACCAATGGCATTTTTCACAGAACTAGAACAAAAAATTTCAGAATTTGTATGGAAACACAAAAGACCCCAAATAGCCAAAGCAGTCTTGAGAACGAAAAATGGAGCTGGAGGAATAAGGCTCCGTGACTTCAGACTATACAACAAAGCTACAGTAATCAAGACAGTATGGTACTGGCACAAAAACAGAAATATGGATCAATGGAACAGCATAGATAGCCCAAAGATAAACCCATGCACATATGGTCACCTTACCTTTGATAAGGGAGGCAAGAGTATACAATGGAGAAAAGGCACCCTCTTTAATAAGTGGTGTTGGGAAAAATGGACAGCTACATGTAAAAGAATGAAATTAGAACACTTCCTAACATCATACACAGAAATACACTCAAAATGGATTAAAGACCTAAATGTAAGGACAAACACTATCAAACTCTTAGAGGAAAACATAGGCAGAACACTCTATGACATAAATCACAGCAGGATCCTTTCTGATCCACCTCCTAGAGAAATGGAAATAAAAACAAAAATAAACAAATGGGACCTAATGAAACTTAAAAGTTTTTGCACAGCAAAGGAAACCATAAACAAGAGGAAAAGACAACCCTCAGAATGGGAGAAAATATTTGTAAATGAAGCAACTGACAAAGCATTACTCTCCAAAATATACAAGCAGCTCATGAAGCTCAATATGAAAAAAACAGACAACCCAATCCAAAAATGGGCAAAAGACCTAAATAGACATTTCTCCAAAGAAGATATACAGACTACCAACAAACACATGAAAGGATGCTCAACATGACTAATCGTTAGAGAAATGCAAATCAAAATTACAATGAGGTATCACCTCACACCTGTCACAGTGGCCATCATCAAAAAAATCTACAAACAATAAATGCTGGAGAGGGTATGAAGAAAAGGGAACCCTCCTGCACTGTTGGTGGGAATGTAAATTGATACAGCCACTATGGAAAACAGTATGGAGGGCTCCTTAAAAAACTGAAAATATAACTCATATGACGCAGCATCCCACTATTGGGCACATACCCTGAAAACCATAATTCAAAAAGAGTCATGTACCACAATGTTCACTGCAGCTCTATCTACAATAGCCAGAATATGAAAGCAACCTAAGTGTCCACTGAGAGATGAATGGATAAAGAAGATGTGGCACATATATACAATGGAATATTACTCAGCCATAAAAAGAAATGAAACTGAGTTATTTGTAGTGAGGTGGATGAACCTAGAGACTGTCATACAGAGTGAAGTAAGTCAGAAAGAGAAAAAACAAATACTGTATACTAACACATATATATGGAATCTAAAAGAAAAAAAATGTTCTGAAGAACCTAGGAGCAGGATAGCAATAAAGACGCAGATGTAGAGAATGGACTTGAGGACACGGGGAGGGGGAAGGGTAGGCTGGGATAAAATGAGAGAGTATCACTGACATATATACACTACCAAATGTAAAATAGATAGCTAGTGGCAAGCAGCTGCCCAGCACAGGGAGATCAGCTCAGTGCTTTGCAACCACCTAGAGGGGTGGGACAGGGAGTGTGGGAGGGAGATGCAAGAGGGAGAGGATGTGGTGATATACATATGCATATAGCTGATTCACTTTGTTATACAGCGGAAACTAACACAACACTGTAAAGCAATTATACTCCAATAAAGATGTTAAAAAAAAAAAAGTTGAAGCTGGATGATGGGTACATGAAGGTTCATTATACCATTCTGTCTAGTTTTATATGTGTTTGAAATTTCCATAGGAGAATGGAAAAGCAATTATTTGCCTTCAGAAACCAGAGGAATAATATCTAAGTATATCGATGATGAGAAGTAATTTTTAATACTAACTTAAAGCTCTTACTTTTATTCTTTTCTCTGATCAGCTATGTTTCATATATAACTTTAAAGCCCTCAATGAATTTATACTGTGGGAAACCTTAGGTGGGCTGCCTAGAAAAAAAATGGATTAACGATTTGCACAAATGGGCAGGGAATGCTCACTGTTACATATACAAACTGTTTGCAACTGTTTTAAAGACTGTACTATAGATAAGCAACATTAGTTTCTGCTTTTAACCGTCTGGGTTGGAGGTTTAAGATGCTATGTAAAAATTCCTATCTAATTATTAAAAATGAAACCTCTATTAGGCAACATCTAGCCAATTTCCAATATTTAATTGTTCTGTACAGTAGATATTTATTCTTTCCTATATTTTTTCCTGAAAACGAATCTGAATTTGTAAGGTTTTACTGTTTATAATCCCTATGGAAAACTGGAAGATTTCTAGATATCCCCGTAAGTGAATTTGTGTCTTGAAAAATAAAACAGACGAATAATGAAAAACAAACAAAAGAGCAAATTAAAAAATCTTCCCCAGAAAGTCCTTTTGCAAGGGTTTGAAACACCTGCGCTCAGATATTAGACTTCTTTAAGGATATCGTTTCCATTTTTAGGTCTAGAAACAGGACAGGGTCATCTGAATTAGAAGACAGCAAATGTGAACATGAGTGAACCAATCTGAAAATTATCCAAAGTTACTAGATCGAAGTCGAATTCACAGGAAATTACACAGGAACTAATTTGAAACATATTTTTTAAATTTATTCTTTTAATGAGCCTTCAGCTTCACCAGTCACAAACAGATTGTCTCTTCAGTAATGACTTAATTTCCCCAGTCTCTAACCAGATAGTCCTACAGGAAGTAATTATACAATGATTGTGTTTCCTAGAAGGTATTAAAGACAATTACCAGCCAATTTAAGTATCAATGCACCAAATGCAACCACAGTCCAATTTGCTAAATTCAAAAGAATTCAGAGTTAAAAACTGTATTTAGTGGAATCTGCAAATCTACACTGGTTTTAGATCTAAAAAGGATTGGTTTGGAGACACTGATGTAAAATGTTATCGGAGAGTCCATGGAAACTTTAGGTAGGCTTGTTCTGTTCGAATTGTAAATAATAACAACATAAATGGATGATCATTCATGATCTGTAAACTACTGAATTCATGGCTTAGGCTTTTGGGAATACAAACATAGCAAAGAACCTGTTAGGCCCAATCAATTAACTTACCAGTGTCATCATCAAAGTCAGACAAGACTGACTCAATTCCATCCTCACTGCTTGCTGACTGCTCCTGAAGTCTTCGGGGCAAGCTAGCGAGTCGCCCACTAAGGAACATTGGCTTCAAGGGCATTTTGTAGATTTTAGCCAACAACTAAATTAAAAATACCAAATTGCAATTATAAATTGGAAAAAGCTGCACTCTATTAAATGACAACAAAACTATATACTGGAAGAGAAGGTGGAGAGAAAACCAGAAAAGCTCCCACTGTAGCAAAGTTTTAAATTTGCCTGTGATTTGGATTCATAAGGCAGTCCACAAGAGGCATTTATCCCATGAAGCAGCTGAAACAGCATTCAGTGGCAACAAAAAGGTAGAGGAAAAGATTCTGTGGATACCTTTTCAGCATCTTAATTGCATACGAGTTTTATAGACTTTTATAAACCTGTGAAGGGAACCATAAACATGTCAAGAATTTTTGCCTGAGAGAAAAGTGTTCTATGGGGATCACTGGGAAGACAGCCTGTAGGCAAATGAGATACCAGATTCTGATTTCCCTTCCCCTGACTCAACATCAAGGAAATGGGGGTGGGGGGAGGGCACATGGGGGATGGAGGAATCCGAGGGCAGGGTGGGTGCGATGAAGGTATGAGAAGCAGAGCTAATAGGCTGCTCGGGCTCTTTACTCCACTCTCACTGCTACAGCCCAGACCGCGGGAATCTGTTACTGGGACAGACTCCCAAGGAGCCTTGTACCTTCACGAATTAGAATTGTGCCTGCTGTGGCCCCACTGTTTCAGAAATTAGGGAAACAGCTGGGAGTGAGACAGACAGAAATCCTGCCCTGTGCATCTTACAGACACACTCCTTTCACAAATAATAAATAAAATTTGACAGAAACGTTATAGGCAAAATTAGGCAGTCCTAGAACGAGCGACCTAGGTGTGCGGGGAATGCTGGCAGGGAGTTGGTAGATACCTAAGCCCTGGTCTCTCTGAGGAGATGATGTTTCAGATGAGATCTGGACAATAAGGCGTGTCATACAGAGATCTGGGGAGAGAAAATTCCAGGCAGAGGGAACAGCAACAGCCCAGAGCAGTAACAAGTAGGGTGTGTCTGAGGGACAGAAAGGGAGTGTGGCGAGCACAGTGAGTGAGGGGCAAGGAGCTGAGGGGGGAAAGGGAGCGGGGTCAGGTCATGTGGGCCTTGTGGAAGCAGCTGGAGGAGGAAATCAGGGCTGTGCATCCTTTCTAAAGCCCTGGGGCTTAATGCTATTGATGCTATCACCAAGGGAGAGTGAGGAACAGACAGACAAGAGGACGCCAGGGACACAACCTTAGAAGACAGGAGAAGAGCTACGGAGAGGGGGTGTCACCGAAGCCTAGGGAGAAAGGGCTTTGAGAAGGGAGCATCATCTTGTCCCATGGGCGTGTGACACGGTAACGACAGAGGGTCGCTGGACTTAGCATAAGGAAGGTCACTGTTCACACTGATAAATGATGTTTCATTGGATTTTTTTTTACTAGATCTTGACTGCATACTTTTTAAAATGTCTCCTTTCACTGTGTGCAGCCCACTGTCCATGTTTTCGTACCATCGGAAGGATTTCGATATCTGACACAGATATAGAGATTATGGTAGTTCATGTATCGGAGTATGAATGAGAAGTTTCAGAGATCTCAAAACCCAATTGTGTGTTTTAGTACATTTTCATTACTTTCTTTCTCTCCTTTGTAGAAGCGGGGGGACAAAACTTTATACTCCAAAACTAAGCCCCAATCTCCTCAGAGACAGCAGAAAGCACTTCGCTTAGGCATCCACAAAATACCTCCATGCATGTTTTGTAAGCATCTTCTGAGGTGGGTTTCAGGGCCTGCGTACCTGAGAACAGCGCCTGAGGTAATCCAGGGCAGGGAGGCACAGGTCTGGGGACGTGGCTCCGGATCCTGGGACACAGTCTCCGATTTCTTTACAGTCCACCTCCCCTGGAGGCAGCAGGGGAGACAGAGACAAATATTGTTTATCCCCTTATAACAGAAGACCTACTTAGTCATACAGCATGCGTTCCCCAAATGTCTACTAACGTAGAAAAGAAAGGAAAAATTACTCCAAATTGTACAACCCTTTCAGTCAAATTTCCCCCTACATGTGTACATTTGGGATCACACTGTACATCTTACCTTGTTGAAATTATTCTGTTCCGTAACTCCCCTTTTCACTAAACAATGACCACTTTTTCCATATCCTGCAACAGTACTTTCAGTGGCTGGATGGTGGTTTTTTGTACCTGGACACACTGCAATTTTTCTAATTCACTTCCCTGGGCCCTGCTGTTGATGGTGTGACTCTGAAGCTTTGATGACAGGATGATCCTGGAGACCAGCCATGTGCTGGGCAGAAAGGAAGCACTAGGCCTCTCTCTGTTTGGAAAAGGACCTCCTTTGTTGCCAGTGTTCAGCACTAAACAGTGATGATAAAGGAAGACTCTGGGAAGATCTGAGACATCTGGGGTTTGGGGATGGAGACTACTAAACTGAACTGAAATGACTTCTATTTTGTGTGTATATATCTAGAAATTTAACAGATCTGTAGAGGGCATCTAGATAGTCTACAGGCGCACAGTAGTTGGAAATTATCATTTTTCTTCTCATGTACGAATCTACTTCTGCACTTTTAATAAAATTATTCCGCAGTACTGTAATTGTTTCTGTCTACAATTGTAGCAACTGGCACCCTTCCCTGTGGGTAAACAGACATAATTACTAGGTATTAGTTAAAATTTAGCAGACAAAGAGGCATGTTTCTCCTTAAGAAAGAAAAGATAACCATTTGTATATTTTAGATCAGGGACTGGTAAACTTCTATACAGGGCCAGACAGTAAATATTTTAGGCTTTGCAGGTCACACTCTCTTTGTTGTAACTTCTCAACTCTGTCACTATAGCACAAAAACAACCACAGACAAATGACCAGGGCTGTGTTCCAATAAATCTTGATTTCTAAAAACTCTGAGTGGGTGGGATTGGCCTGTGGGCCATAGTTTGCCAACCCCTAGTTTAGATTAACACACCTTACAGTATAAAAACACAGAGCAGTTCAAATTCATGTTGACATAACCAAGTGGGAATAAAAAATAAATCCATTTCCTATCCTGTTAATCACAGTGTTCCAAGTTTTTTACGGAGGCTGCTGTGTCACACATCAAAGTCTGTGCACGGGTTGGCCCCTGGAGGCGGGCAGGACACAGCCAGAGTGGCTGTACTGGGGCCTCGGATGTGCCCACTGACCCCAAGCCACAGACAAGTAACTCCACCTTATAATTCACAGAAAAAAATGGAATCTTTCTGTTTTAAATATCCTCAGGTGCACACTGATAATTCTGCATCTCCATTTTCAGGCCCCAGCTCCCTCGCTGAGATAAGATCTCAAACTTCTAACATTTCTACCGTGAAAATTTCTAACATCTCCACTTGAATATTTCATAGAAACTCAACATGTCCCAGTGTCCAAAGATAGAATTCATTATTGTTCCTCTCCTCCACTCCTTTTGGATATCCTAATTCTGGGAAACGTCAGTCCTGGCAAGGAACCTGGGGAGTCAACCTCAGCTCCACCCTCCCTTACGCCCGTCAGAGCGGTCCAAGCCCTCCGGACCCCATCTCTACAATATCCTGACCTCCATCCTCTCTGTTCTCTCCCAAACTCCTGCACACTGGTCTCTACCTGTAGCCTCTTGTCCTTAACCCACAGGGACACGTGCCTGCCAGTTTAGTTTCTAATGTCACATGTGATACACCACTCGGTGGCTTCAAAACCTTCCCTGCACATTCTCGATTTCCTGGTGTGGCATTCAGGGCCCTTTAGAGCCTGGCCCCTTCCTCTGTTTCCATCTCATCACCCAGGATCCCTCCCTTTGTGGTACCTCCAACGTACCCTACTTTTAGAAAAGTAAACCTACAGCAGCTCACACCACAAAATTCAAATGTCACTTTCCCTTTGAAGTCTGCATGGCCCTGCTACCAAGCACCCCGTCTCAGCTGCTTGTTCATTTCAGCTTAAATAGCTTTTTTCTTTTTTTTCCTAGCCTCTATGAAAATATTCATCTTCCTGAACTGTGACTATTGATTTGTGTGTCTGTTTCCCAGAAGAGGCTGTGAGCCTCTCACAGGCAGGAAGCATGTTATATTCATCTGTGTATCCCCATAGTATGTACAGGTCACCATGCCCCCGTAGCAGGCCCTCAACTGTTCACCAAACAATAGAATACCAATAATAATGGTTCTTAAATAAAATATAGGGTTGTGGAATAATGGAAAATACATATGTTGGTCTCTGCCTCTGGCTCCTGGCACAGAGCTCCTAAAACCCTTATTTCCTACATGATAAGACTACTAGGCTTCTTTTGTTCTAATATTTGATCTTCAACTCTAGTTCCTGATACAGAGCTCCTAAATCCCTTGGAATTTCCTGGGTGATAGAGTCTTTTGTTCTAGTGAGGCAAAGCTTGGTAAGCTCCTGGATGGGGGCTGGTCACCAGAAAGGCCATAGGAAGAAGAGGGGGGTTGGAAATTGAGTTAATGATTGATCATGGCCACATGATGAAGCCTCCATAAGAAATCCCCAGAGTATGGCATTCAGAGAGCTTCTGGGTTGATGAACACATCTACATGCTGGGAGGAGGGTGTAGCCCAACTCCATGAGGGCAGGAGCTCCTGAGCTTGGGACCCTCCTGGACCTCAACTTATATAACCTCTTGACCTGGCTGTTTATCTGTATCCTTTATCATATCTATTACTATATAATACGCTGATAAAGGTAAGCATTTCCCTGAGTTCTGTGAGCTGTTCTGATGTCATTTGAAATGGCGGGGGGCAGTCTCATAGGACCGAGCCCTTCCCCTGTGGGGTCTGCTGGTCTGACTCTGGCTGGGGTCAGAATTGATTTGACAATAGGACACCCAGCTGGCACCACAGAGAACTGCTTGGCGTGGGAACAAAGCCCACACATCTGGTGTCAGAACTCTTGTGAGTGAGGTAGTAGTTGAGAGAGTAAAGGAGAAGTACGGGAGGAAAGTTTTTTCTAAACAAGGACTGGATTTTTTACTATCTAAGGCAGAGATCCATTACTTTAAGGTATTCTTGTGATTAAGACACTAAACTGTTTGGCTTCTGTTTAGTGTAGAGCAGAGTTTAAAAAGGATAAAATCTTACTCTGTCTTTCAAAAGACACCTTCCTCTGAAGCCCAGTCTGTAAAGTGGATAAGTGAGGGGCTTTCATGGTTGCCCCTCAGCTCAGCCCTCTATTTCCCAGGGTATACAGAAGCATAGAATGGGTGTATGTAAGAACAGAATATAACAAGGATGGTCTGTGGATCAGACCTGTGGCCTCCAGCCTCTGTCTTGAAACTTGCATTGTACTCCTGCTCCAAAATAAGGGGAACATGAATGAAGTCACCTAGCTTCTCTGGGTCCTATTTTCTTTTACAAAGAAATTGTCAGTTATTTTGCAAGAATACAAAAGAATATTATGAACCTTATATTTTCTTATTTTAAAAGAAGGCTACAGGTCTCAGAGCACACCAGGGTGAAAATCTCAAAACGTAAAGACTTAAGTTCCTTTTAAACGTTGGGTTTAACTAACTGCTACTCCCTTCCATTTCACCCCAGATAAACACGTGTTATACAAACATCTGATCCAGCAGGTTATGCTGTAGAGCAAGACTCTACTGTGTTAAAGTATTTCTAAACTAAGCATAAAATCAGCTAGGTAGTTCCTAAAACACACAAAGTCTCAAAGAAGGGTGACTTCTACACCTTCAAAATACGTTTTGTAATCAGTAAGGTCTGGGGGAAGGCATTCTTAATTTTTGCTTAAGAGCTGGGAACTCAAACTCTACTTAGGCTAATAGACTAATTGACTTCTAATTATATGACACTGAGGACAGTAGTTTCCTGTATGAGGGTAATTATCGAACATAATATTGAATATTTTAAGATTCAAACAGAAGCTGGAGTAAAATAATATATGAAGACAGGCTTCATTATAAAATTATTCCATGAACACAATGAGAAGTATCAACCCTGGACAGAATCCAAGCTGCGTTTACAGTAAGCTTCGTGCTTCTGAGCGCACAGCATAGCGCCATCTGCTTCTGTACCAGGATGCTGGCTTGCTTGCTGCAGCCAGTTCACACACAGCCATCCAGGAGAGGGTCCCCAGATGTCAGGAGGCAGGAAAGGAGGGCTCCACTTACCCAGTCCTTTGACAAACTTCATAAGGCACATGATGTAACTAGTGGCCGCATTAGCAAAGACCTGGATGTTGTCGGTGTTGAGAAAAGCTTCAAATACATCAAACACCGGAGCCTGGCCTTTTCCTGAGGGAGGAAGATTATAGAGTTTTAAGAAAGTTAAGTCTCTATCCTTCAGGTTGCCCATACTCCCAGCACCTTCCACAGAGCCTTAAAAAAGGTCTGTTGGAGAAAAGCCTGGGCCTTTTGACTGGATAACTGGCTTGGCTCCCATGCTGTCCTTCTCAGCTTTGCCTGCAGAGGGAACTGTAGGAAGGCTATGAAGAGAGCTCAGGAGAGGGACGAGGGCAAAGCCGGCTGAACACAGGGCTGAGGCAATGGGTAGGTCTACATAGGGCAATTAAATATGTGGTCTTTTGGAATTCTCCTCCACACATAATTATAGGGAAGGGAAGGTTTAGATAAACCCCTGATGGCATATACTAATTTATTCATACCTGAGCCGAAAAGAGTTAACATAGAAGGCTTAAGGCTGCTATCCTTAGAAAGGCCTGCTTGCACAGTGGGCCCTTGGCTGGAGTCTGGGAAGCCGGCTCTCAGAATATTCCCAAGCAACAGTTAACTGGATGGTTCACTGTGACTGGATGGTTGGTGCAAACAGCGTGGTTTAATCTGAACCCCTGCTTTTTTTCAGGGAGTATGGATTTTGGAATATGCTAGGCAGAGGGTACCTAAGTGACCAGCCCTTAGCTGGGTCTCTAGTGGGCTTCCCTGGGCAGAAAGATCTACACACTGCCCTATGGTCATACATGTTGCTGCATTTTCCCTGTTGGAGGAAGAGTGTGCTCTGTGGGACCCCCTCATGGGATGGTGAGAGTTCAGGGAAGCCTGTGCAGGGATTCTGTGTTTTCCCCTTATGATCTGGCTTGTCCTTACTATGTTGCCATGATAAATCTTGGCTGTTAGCCATGCAATAAATCTGAGCTATGTAATAAATCTTGGCATAACTACAGGCTGAGTCCCATGAGTCCTTCTGATGGGTCTCTTAAGTGCAGGGGTAGTCTTGGGGACCCCTGACACAACACCTCTGGTCACTGGGCCTGCTGTATGGCTGCCCATCTATTTCCAGCCAGACCTGATCTCCCTAATTCGAACTCCCTGTTATTTGGATACTTTTTGCTTCTTCCTAGCAAGTGGATAACATTTTTCTTTTGGCTTTATGAAAGAACTCAACACAGATACGTATAAGTGAAACAACATAAGTCTCTCAGCCTTTTGTCCAATCTGTCACTGAGAGCTGGGCCTGATAACGCTCAGGGTTCTTGGTCTGCTGGCAGAACTCAGAACTTGTGTTCCTGATACACCAGTTCATTTCCTGATGCTAAAACAGCTGAATGCCAGTCTTCCCTATTATCCAACTTCTTTTTTTTTTAAATTTACTTATTTTTGGCTGTGTTGGGTCTCCGTTGCTGCTCGGGGGTTTTCTCCAGCCGTGGCGAGCAGGGGCTACTCTTTGCTGAGGTGTACGGGCTTCTCGTTGCGGTGGCTTCTGTTGTTGTGGAGCACAGGCTCTAGGCACGCGGGCTTCAGTAGTTGTGGTGCACAGGCTTAGCTGCTCCACGGCATGTGGGATCTTCCCGGACCAGGGTTCGAACCTGTGTCCCCTGCCTTGGCAGGCGGATTCTTAACCACTGTGCCACCAGGGAAGCCCTATCCGACTTCTTTTGATAGCATGAAGCTTGGCATAAAGAACTAATGCTCCATAGCCAGAATCATCCACACGTTCTTCCCACTATCACTACTCCTTTCAACATAGTACCAGAAGTCCTAGCTGGAGCAATTAGGCAAGAGTAGGAATAAAATACATCCAAATTGGAAAGGAAGAAGTGACATTGCCTCTTTTTGACAATGACATGATTGTGTATACAGAAAGTCTTAAAGATTCCACCAAAAAGATTCCACTCAAAAACCTTAGAGCTAGGGCTTAGAGCGGCTGGGCCCGTGAGCCATGGCCGCTGAGCCTGCGCGTCCGGAGCCTGTGCTCCGCAACGGGAGAGGCCACAACAGTAAGAGGCCCGCGTACCGCAAAAAAACGAAGAACAGAACAATAAAACCTTAGAGCTATAATAATTATGGTTTAGAACTAATAAACAAGTTTCAGGATACGAAATCAACACACAGTCTTACCCATGGAGTAGTCACCAACCAGGTACTCCTTCACCTCAGACTTGTCCCCACTGTGCACTGTTTCCAGGGCACTGAACAAGGGCCTCCAGCCCGACTGGATCTGGGTGGAACACACTTCAACCAGCTCACCGATGGATGTGACGACCTGCAGAGGCAAAGGAGGTGGCATTTAACGCCTTTTCCTTCTAAGAAGCAGGTGAATTTCTGGGAAGAATGATGTGCTTCTCTGCTCCCTATTTCTGGGTTAAATTTAGCGAAGGATAAAAATCAGAACCTAGAAAAACTCACTGAAAAGTCTTCTAAATAAGCAGCCGTATCACATTAATACGCATTTTACTAATGACTAGTGTTGCTAAAACTTTTCACAAGCCATTTGTAAATATTTTGGTGTTTCTGAAGTTAGGTTTTTGTCTTCTCATTATTGTCTTTTTTATTGAGTTATTAAGAGTTCTTTGTGCATTCTAAGTGTAAGCCCTTCCTGAGATATATGATTTGCAAATTTTTTTTTTCACAGCTTTGGGCTTCTCTTTTTTATATGGTGTCTTTTGAAGAGCAAAAGTTTTAAATTTTGATGAAGTCCAAATCATCAATTCTTTTCTTTTTATGGATCCTGTTGGTGTAATTTCTAAAGAATCTTTGCATAGCCCAAGGCCTCAAAGATGGTCTCCTATGCTTTCTTGTAGAAACATTCATAGTTTTCGCTCTTATTTAAGCCTATGACCCATTTTGAGTTATTTTTTGTGCATGGTAAGAGGAAGGGTGTAAGTTCATTTTAATTGTATATGTTCAAAGCACCATTTGCTAAAAGTAATATCCTGTCTCTCTACTGAATTGCAATGACATCTTTGTCAAAAATTGACCATACATGTGAGAATTTATTTCTATACTTTCTTCAGTTCCACTGATCTATAGGTCTACCCTTACACCAATACCACACTGGGTTGATGACCGAAGTTTTAAAATCGGGTAAATTCTCCAAATTCGTTGTTCTTTTTCAAATGTGTTTTCTCTATTCTAGATCCTTTGAACTTGCATATAAATTTGAGAATCAGCTTCCCAATTTCTTCAAAAAAGTCTGCTGATATTCTGATAGGAATTGCACTGGATCTATGTATCAACTTGTGGAAATCTGCCATTTAAGAAATACTGTCTTTCAAGCCATGAACGTAGCATATCTCATAATTTATTGGAATATTCTTTATTTTTTTCTCAGCAATGTTTTGTAGCATTCAGTGTACAGGTATTTCACATCTTTTACTAAATTTATTCCTAAATATTTTGTTTTCAATGCTCTTGTGAATGGAATTGTTCTCTTAATTTCAATTTTTGATAGCTTACATCTTGAATATAGGAATTCCATTGATTTTAATACATTGTTTTTGTATCCGGCAACCTTGCTAAACTCACTTTTTTTTTTTTTTTAATTTTATTTTTTTGGCTGTGCCGCATGGCACGTGGGATCCTAGTTCCCCGGCCAGGGATTGAACCTGCACCCTCTGCATTGGAAGCATGGAGTCTTAACCACTGGACTGCCAGGGAAGTCCCGAAACTCACTATTAATTCTAGTAACTTTTAAAATAAATTCCTTAGGATTTTCTACATATAAGACCGTGTTGTCTATGAACTAAGACAGTTTTACTTTTCAAAACTGGATGCCTTTAATTTTTTGGTACAGTGAGTAAAAGTCATAATGTTGAATAGAACTGGTAAAGATGGAACTCTTAGCCTTGCTCCTAATTATTGGGAAAAAGCATTCAGTCCTTGACCACTGTGTAGTGTTTGATGTAAGATTCTCAAATACTCCCTTTATCCAATTAGGGAACTCCCTTCTATTCCTCATTTCTTGAAAGTTTTTTATTTAAAATGAGTGATGGATTTTGTAAAATGTTTTCTCTGTGTCTGTTAAGATAACCATAGGGTTTCAATCCTTTATTCTACTAATGAGATACATGACGTTAATTGAATTTTGAGCTGTTAAACCAATCTTACACTGATTCTTTCTTCTGCCATCTCAAATCTTGTTGGAAAGCCCATCTAGTGGATTTTTCATTTGTTATTGTCCTTTTCAACTCTAGAATTTGCATTCTTTCAGTTTCCATCTCTCTACTTAGATTCCCTATTTTTGAGTCATTGTCATCATATTTTCCTTTAATTCTTTGAACCTATTTATGATAGCTGCTTAAAGTCTCTGTCCCCTAATCCAACATCCCAAGCCAGAGCCAGGACCCAGTGAACAGAACCCTCTTCCCACCATGTGCACCAGATTTCTTTGGCTAAATACTTTGTAATTTCTACCATGACGGCATCATTGGTAGAGGTCACCAGCTCTTCCAGATCCTGTGTCTGCTTGTCTTCCCGCCTCCAAATCTGCATTTTGGATGCATATAATCCTGGTTTTAGCTTAACCCAACACCTGGTCTCACGCTAAGTCAGTTGCTATTTATTGTTTTTCCCCCAAGTATACATCACGGTTTCTTATTTCTTTGCATATCTCACTTTTTTTTTTTTTTTGCTGAACATTGGACGTTTTAGATAATATATTGTAGCAATGCTGGATTTATTTTTGAGTTTTTTTTATTTATTTATTTGACTAAGTTGCTTGGACTTACACTGCAGAATCTGTCTCTACTCTTCCCATGGCATGAGGCACCAATAATGTCTCTACTCAATTTCTTATTTTTCAGCCTGACTTCCTAGTGCTGTCCCCGTGTCTGCATAGGTTAGTTGTCACTTGATGAAGTAGGCAGAGATTCTGCTTAAATACCTTGAGCCTTTAAGGCTTCCACCCTCTGCCAACCAATCTGTGTGTGCAGGCTGGGGAGAATATACAAAGTTCAGCCAGTTCCTAAGTCTCTCTGGTCTTTTACTTTCTGATGGGATCTGTACAGTCTATCCTATATATGCCCACATTTCAGTCAACTAGAGATGGATGCATGACAGATTACCTAGTCCTTCTATGAAATCTCTGGCTTCCAGAGTCCCACGTTACATTTCTTACTGGTTCACCACTGCAGCCTTAGGCTAGCAAAGTTGTAGTATTATTCTATTGCTCATTTCCTAATGAATTCACCACTTTTAGTTGACAGACCAATGGTCTTTTTTCCTCTTCTTCAAACCAAGTCTGTCTCTTAGTGCAGAAATGCTGATTTTCCCAGTCAGCCCCACAATGGTCAAATTACTATTCTTGCCAACAGCTTGTAAGTGATGACTTCCATCTTCAGCAAGAAGGTCACAGACTCCCACTGTTCTTAACCAAAGTTCTGGCGAGAACTATTTTTCACCATAAATGCTACTCAATTTGTTGTCTGCCCTTGGTCAATCGCAAGAGTCCTGAAACGGCTGCTTTTGACAATTTTTTTCTTTTTGTATACTTGATTTTTGTGGAGAGGATTCACTAACTTCTTCATGCCCCTATAGCCAAAATTCCTCCTGTCCTAAATCTTTCTGAACATTGTTCAGAACTTAATAAGCATAGTTATTTTAAAGTCAGTCTCTGATAACTCCAATATCTGGATTCCTGGTGGGGAGTTAGGGACAGTGTGTCTATTTTTATTATTTTATTTCTGTATTCATGACATTCTATTTTCTAATGAGTCAATTATTTTAGATTGAAGGCAGACATTCAGCTTCACCCAATGGCCAATTCCCTCATGGCCAATCCAGTCTCAGAGCTCTGCTTACTTCTTTGGGCTTCCCATTGTTACTTAGTTTTGGGCATCTTAGTATTCTTTACTTTCTTGCCAGTGTGTACATGATATTTAAAATAAAATTTTTAACCCTTGTTGAACATTTTTAGTAGATTTCAGAGACAGAGAATCTGTCTGTGTTCCTAGCACACCATCATGCTAGATAAATATGAAGTCTCTAGCTAGGTTCTTTACCGCCTGTCTCTCCGTAGAGAATATGATAGTGGTTAAGGGTATAGGCTAGGTATGAGAGTATAGACTATTACAGCTAGATTGCCTGCTTCAAATCCCAGTTCCACCAATCACTAATCATGAATCCTTAGCTAAATTGCTTAACCTCTTCTTGTCACAGATTCCACATAGGCTTATTGGACAGATTTAATATGCAGCACGCACAGAACAGTCCTGCCAGTGCACTCAACAAGAGCCAGCAGGCTATGGCAATGATGGCAGCACTGCTACCGTGACACACTGACCTGGTCTTGGACATCCTCGTCACACAACTCCAGCTGCATGATACGCTCAAAAGGTCGGAAGAGCGCTTCATTAAAGTGAAAATGAGGTGGCTCATTCCAGTCGGTGAGAACCTCCGTCAGTATATCATGGATGAAGGAAACTGCCTTCTGAGACACGTGTCTTTCCTTATGGCAAGCAGCCTGCAAAATTCAGAGAGTCAAACACCCTCAGGACTTCAAGCAACTAAGAATCTGGTTTCTCAAGGTCTTCCTAACACACCTTATCGTAGGGAGGTGGAAGCAGCAATTCTGCTAAAGTAAAAGATTTCAAGGGACAAGTATCAATGAACAGCACACTAAACTGCATTTTAAATAATTTAACCAACTGATCAGACACATCTCCAATTTCACTTTGAAGTTTCTGGAAAAATAAGAAGTTTCTAATAATTTCTTCTTCTTTTTTCCTGTAACGTGACTGTTTTCTTGGGTGGTATAGAACATGCTGACTAAAGACACCGGAACCTAGTCTGGAAACCACCCATGGTCTCATTGTTAGCCATGCCCCAAACATACGAAGATCAGATGTGACATCTGTCCCTCAGGGATGTGGGATGATTGCACCAATACAGCTTTAATTGGCTCACATCTTTGTATCCGTGTCCTTTAGCGGTCCTCTTCCACACTGACCCTGGGCTTGGATGTGTGACTTACTTTGAATAATGGAACAATAGCAAATATTATGTAAGTAGAGAATTGAAAAGCAATTCTGATTTGGGGTTTGCCCTCTTGCTTTCCCTTGGAATCCTAAGAATGCCATGTGACTGAGCCAGGGCTAGTCTGCTGGAGGAGGAGAGACCACACAGAGAGGACCCTCATCTGCCCAGGCTTACCAGTCATGAACCAGCTGGCCCCAGTCTTTGCAGAGGCTGACCACAAGTGAACACATAAGGCCAGCTGAGATTAGCCAAGCCTGGCCCAGACTAGAAGAGCTGCACAGCTCAGCTCGAATTTCTGACCCAGAGAATCATAACCTAAATAAACAGTTATTGTTTTAAGTCACTAGGTTTGGGGGGTGGTTTATTATAGTATAATACATAACTGATATATTGTTTCTCCATAACTATTTTTTACCCCCTTACTAGAATGTTCTCAGGTTAGTAAATTTATTTCCCCCAAATACTTTACTTTATGGCATAGCTCTACCAAGTAAGTGCTAAAGGACTATTTGGAATAGTTACCACTGTGAAACAGGGCAACAATTTCCCCATCAACTTAGAAGTAGCCAGTCATCATGTATCGAGATGCTTAGATGGAGTTACCATATAACTTATCATATGGACTGCTTTCTTTTGGAGAGTCAAAGGGGTCCTAGTTAATTTTGTTGGGAAAACCAGGATTTATGGTTCCCCTACTTAGAAGGCACTGCCTAGAATATGTTTAGCTATTAGAAAAGAGAGCCTGGCAGGAACAAAAGACATTGTTATATTCATGTATAAAAATGAAACTCCAGACTTAGGTTGATAGCAGACCATGAAGTATAAGAAAACGGCAGTGTGAGGTGTCTAGGTGAGTCACATAGTTTTAAAGATAGAGGGTCAGAGTGATACCAGGGCAGCGCTGCCCTTTGCGGCAATTCTTTAGGTGCCATAAGGTATAATCAGAGAACAATGATGCTTACGACCAGGTGATGGGAACCTTACTGCTGTGGCCACAGTGCCCTTTGTCCCATGCTGACTGGAGAGCCCTGTGCTGGCTCTGCTGCAGGAGGCCCCTGGGCTGCCCACTTTCCAGGTGCTCACCTCCACCAGGTGTGGCGCCACAAGACTCCAGCAGCGCATCACGTGGAACAGGGGCCTCGCTTTGCTCTGCACGATCCTCAGCATGGCGTCCCCCAGGCGGAACAGGTGGAGGGCACTTTTTCGGTCTTGGGTGGATTTCACTTCTCCTACAGGAAGGTAAGACCATGAAAGCCATCAATCCAAAACTCAGAAATAGTTTGACCTGTTCAAGCATGGAGAGAGGATGAAAATCAAAGAGCCATACTCAGATCAGTGGGATTATTCGGTATGAATTTACCAAGACAGGACAGGAGCCTGGATTCAAGAAAGAACAGGTGATTCACTTAACAAAGCCAGGGCCCACCTCTCCTGTTCACTGTAGCATCCCTGACATTTACACGTGTCAGGCAAACAATGCTTGTTGATAAGGAGGAATGATGTCGTGGTTAAGTAGAAGGGCCAGGGAATCGGCTGCCTAGGCCCAAATCCTGGCTCCATCATGTAGCAGTTGGGTTACGATGGACCAGAAGTTTACCTCTCTAATCCACAGTTTCTCATTGTAAAAGTGGGGATAAGAGTACCTACTTCTTAAAGTTTCTTCAAGGATGAAATGTGATAATGCTCATAACGTACTTAGCACAGGGCCTGGCACAGACTACTTGCCCCACACACTTAGTTATACTGTTACTGTTGTTATCGTCCCCATCCTTTACCGCCACCATCCACTTGGTCAATGCTTAATGGTACCTCTGAAGCCCTTGCCAAGCAGGTCAGGCCCCTTTGCACCCAATAACATGCGATCTAACCTCTGTCTTGCTTCCGTACAATCCTTGCCTACTCGGACCTCTTGCTACTTCTCTGCCACTGTCACCTTAGTCTCCTCCACTCTCTTTCTGCCCATGTGTTCCTGCTTCTCCCATACAGCTACAAAATACTGATCACGATCAGCCTCTTCCAAACAGAATGTGCCTTTCTAAGTCGTCTTGCCGTATCAAATAAACTTCAAGATGACAGTACCAAAAATCACTGACATTTACTGATTGTTTACTCTGCATCAGACATTGTGTTGGCTCTTCGTGTCTTTAATCACTCTTATTTTTATTGAAGTATAGTCGATATACGATGTGTTCATTTCTGCTGTACAGCAAAGTGATTGAGTTATACACATATATACATTCTTTTTTATATTCTTCTCCATTATGGATTATCATAGGATATTGAATATAGTTCCCTGTGCTATACGGTAGTACTTTGCTCTTTATCCATCCTGTATATAATAGTTTGCATCTGCTAATCCCGAACTCCCACTCCATCCCTCTCCCACCCCTCACCTTGGCAACCACAAGTCTGTTCTCTATGTCTGTAATCACTTTAATTTTAAAAGCAACCCTTAAGTAGTAAATGTAACTACTGCCATGTACAGATTAGAAAACTGCAGATCAGAAAGGTGAACCAACTTGCCTAAAATGACGCAGCTGGTAAGTAGTGACGGCAGCATTTTAACTTGGATCTGATTGATTCCAAAGCCAATGCTTCTTCCCCCTAGGTCTGCTGCCTCTTCCTGACCCTCACTGCTCATTGTTTTTTGTAAGCTCGGAGTCTGCTGATTTCTCCATGCAGAAGACTCTGAAAGTGGTCCCTGGGCTCAGAGATGCTCCGGCAGTTGGCTGGATCTGGGAGGTTGGCTTTATATAGCTAAGGTTTTAAAGTCTATTAAAAACTCATGGGAAAGGACTATGGTTCTCAAATTAGAATCTGCAGTAAGAATCAAAATTCCTGATGATGGAAGGAACTCGGAGGTTGTGCACTTCAACCTGCCACCAGTGCGATTCTGGCCCACGGCTCTGTGACTCTGCCATGGGGACAAGGTACTCACTGTTATAGCACAACAACCCTGGCTGCTGATGGACAGCTGAGTTTGTGAGCAACCTGCCACCCACTTGGGACGCCTGGTGATTCAGTACAGCTCTACCCCCTCTTCCACGTGCTGGCCTTCAAGAGGGCCTTCATCTGGCCGCATCCGTGAGGACAGCGATACTGACCCACCGTTAAAGGGAGATGCCATGAGAGCAGTTTTTCTAAGAGTGGCCTGAGGCTTCTGTCAAGCCTTCCATTTTTCTCTCCCAGGCCCTTCTGAAATTAGAAGCTGCTTCTGCAAGTAGGCTGGACTAAGGCAGGTGTGTGCTTTGTGATACGGAGAGGAGTTCCTACCCTCATGTGAAGCTATCTGCACCCTGAGGAGCCACACCGTTTCTACATCACAAGCACAAGTTTTAGCAGAACATAGTCCAGCTCCAGCGGTAATACCTGCAACAGTGGTGGCAGCAACATTTCCAATGACAAAGAATGACACCCCACGCAAACCACCAACCCCCATCTGCCACGATCGTGCCTCAACACCAGATGGCAAATTTTCACTCGAGCCAAGGTGACTGTGTACGAAGGGAATGTTGGTTCAAGTCTTTAGGCAGGCTGTTGATATCAGAGATCTGGGCTGTTTCCTGCTAACCTCATGGCACAGTTTCTGCCGGGAAAGAATTACCTGGCATTGCCAATGAGTAATCAACTGTTTCTGTAACGGAATGGAAAAGCTGGGACTGTGATGCTTTCTTCAGCTGGTAAAGAAAACCTCCCAGAGCCATGAGGTTCAACTTATCTGTAGCATCTTCAAAGAGCCTGGATGAAACAAAAAGACTTGTTACTTGGAAACAATTCAGCAAAGTCTTTATGGCAGAATGATTATGGTAATTTTCTTAGATGTGATTAATGAAAATGTGTAAACACTGTGAAGAAATGTACAGTATTATATCTGTATTATGTATTATAAATGTATTATAAATAATGTATTATATAATAATGTATTACGTCTCTTATTACTGAGTACAAGTCTACTCTAAGATTCTAATCTGAAGGGCACAGACCATATTTAAAAAAATAATCTTTGTAGCTCCATGGCCTAGCTCAGCTGAGATGGGCACTCGTAAAACATTTGGCAAGAAGTTGAAAGATGGCAAAGCATCGTTCCCAGAAACTGAAAAACTGGGAATGGAATTCTTACAATTTCACAAGCTATGTTAAAGAAAAAACGCAGCAAGTTAATCAAGGCTTTTGTTGGGCTACAACTGGCGAGTTTAATGCTGGGCTTGGCTCTGAGGAGGATTCAGAAGCAGAGTAAACTTGATCTGTAAGCCCCCCAGGGGCAGGGACTGACCTTCTTACCCCTCTGACTCATGCACCCAGAGCCCTGGACATGGTGAAGCTCAAGCATGTACTGGAATAATGAATATTCCCTAACATAAAGGACTTTGCAGGTTCTTTTTGTTTTCCACTCTGTTGGGCATAGACATTTCTAGAAGGAGTTAGGGAGAAGGAGGTAAGCACAGGTAGCAGGGCTTAGAGGAGGCTGAGGCTCACTGGCACTTGGAATGTTGGGATCAAACACCAGTTTATGTGGCACATGAGGAATGAGGCGAGCCAGCCTCCCTCTCCTCTGGGGTCATCCTGATGCCTGCCCTCCAAATCCGCGGTGACACGAGAAGAGGAAGCAGCCCTATGGGGTGCCATGTTCTGGGTAAGGGAGAGTGTCTCCAATAGGAACCGAATAACAAAGCCCTTGTGAAGGGATAATACAAGGCACACAAGTTTGAAGATGGGAATCAGTGGATTAATCAGTCACAAATTATCTAAACAAATATATTTTTCTTGTGTTTTGTAATTTCAACACCATTTGGTTTCTGGATCCCATTAATCATTTCTTCTTCCTCTCTCCTAGTAGGAAAAGAGTGGTGAATATTATATCCCATCTGACACCTGTATACCACTTTCCAGCTTCCCAAACACTTTCACAGCCACCCTGTTGGATAGACAGGAAAAAGGGATTATTGTACCAAATCAGTAGATGAAGAAACTGAATCTCAGTGCAACTATTTACACAGACCCAACCCTGCAGTTGGTTGGCGTCAAAGCCAGGAATGAACTCGAGTCTTCTGAGCCCAGCCAGCGATGCTCCTCCCACATCTCTACGCCCTTGCTGTCCATCCTCCCATGTGAACTTCACTGCGCCTGTGCTGGGTCGTCTGGGGCATAGCCGCCAAGTGTGGAAGCGTGAAGTGGGATGGTCTCCATGTGAAGGTGACCAAAGCACTTTCCGCATCAAGAAGGGCCACCTCAGTTCAGAAAAGCAGATAACAGGAAAGAGGGGGCTCATTCTTGTCTAGTTTCTTGTGCAGCCACAGGAACAAGTAGCCAAATAATCACAATATATTATCATTTGTACATAGCTCACAAATATTAGTACATTAGTGTAATTCTGCACAGGCAGAAAGAAAAACCTTTTTGAAGACAAATTGGGACAAATGTTGACCTTAGCCTTATTATACTAGGGGAACAAATGGTATCTATTAGTCTTGCAATAAATTCTTAAATGTTTTAAGATTGCATTTTCTCTAATAAATATGCATTTTTTTTTTTTTTTTTAAAGAAGGAGGACCACCTAACAGTTGGAATTACTGATGATTCCTCCCTCTACATCTTCATGTGACTGCTGGGCATCAATTTAGATCACACTCCTGGGTGCAGGATTTTAAAATATTATCATAAAGATAGCAAATGTTTACTATTTGCCAAGCTCTGTCCAACTACTTCCAGCAAACTAATTAATTTAACCTTATGGCTAGCCTGTGAGAGTTACGCTACTTTATGGCCCTATTCTACGATGAGAAAGCAAGGCCTGTGGAAGTTGCCTGTGGTCAGAGTAAGTGCAGAGCCTTCGCCCCCCGGTTGCCTGACCCCGCCCCTGAGCCTCCAGCCTTAGTCACTAGACAAAAGAGTTCATTGTGAGTGTGCAGCGTGATGGCAGACAGAGACGTACTTGAAAAAAATTACAAGAGGCTTCAATGACTGGCTAACAAATTAAGTTGTCCTGGGGATGATTTTGAGAGCAGAGAGGAGCATGTGGTGTGGCCAGCAGACGATGGGTGCTCTTTGAGGGACAGCCCCCCGGGGCGTGGTGGGAACAGCGCGCACCTGTCGGCCTGGGTGGAGAGCGTGAGCACGACCTTGGCGGCACTGCTGCCCGTCATGAGGCTGCCCCCACGGAAGTCGGAGGCTCGGCCTCGGCTGCCTTCCCGGACGAGTTCCTGGATGGAGAGGGGCTGGATGACGGGGGCCGCGCTCAGGGAGCTCCCCTGCTCCAGGCTCTGCTCTTGGGGTGAGCCCTCGCTCTCCGGGTCCCCGAGGAGTCCGCCTCTGGGGGCCTTCTGAGGCTGGCTGATGGTCAGTGGGGGCCGAGAGGTGCCGTCGCTGAAGTGGGTATGCTCCAACGTGCCCACATACTCGCACACCCTGGAGAGAGTCACACACAGCAGCCGTTGAAAGTTGCAGCTCAGCTGGGCCCGCTCTGGCGACCCCACAGTGAGATACAAAGGAGCTGAGCCAGCCTTACAGTCCTCCTGAATTGTTCCCCTTCCTCCGGCGAGAGCCACTTCTCTCCCCCTCTCTCTCCACTCCCACTTCCTCTCTTCCCGCTATACATACTTTTGTTTGAGTTGGACCATACAGCCTGGAGGTGGGCTAAGGATTCCTCGGTGAAAGTTTGGGAACAGAGCTCTGTTTATCCTGGTACGTCCTGTCCAGCGTACTGGCTTATCAGGACTTTGGCTGTTTGAGTGAGTTTTCCCAAAGGGTCCTCTTCCCTCTCTCTCGTGCTCTAGTCAGGACTCGGGAAACATCTCCTCACTTTGAGATCCCAGAATGGGTGCGCATGTGGTGGGCTGGCCCTCTGGCCACAATGGGCCCTCACTCAGGGGTTCCATCCAGCCATGTCCCACTGGGTCCTGATAGCTCCACGTAACCACTACTGGGGCAGGGGGTGAGGTAGTCACCTAATCACAGTAAACTCAGAGAAGAGTCACAACATATGGTACAGCTGCCAGCTTCCAAACTGTTCCCAATAGGACCTGGGACTAGAGACCCCTCACCCCAGAATAAGTCCAGTTACTAGGAAAGACTATCGTGGACAATCCACTCTGATGTTCCATAATCAGGCCATTTTCTGATTCCATAGAAATTGCTTGAGTGCAATTTAAGTCTTTCTCTTTTTGCCTGTGAAAGCAACAGAGAGTAGCGTGTCACCAGCCTCCACATTAAAACCCACTGTGCTCCAGGCCGATTCATGCTGGCCCTTCCACATGTTCCTCTCAAGATGAGTTTTTCAACCCTAGAATCATCTTTGAAAGTCGACCAACACGCACGCACTCAAGGCTGTATTTGCTTTGAGGATGATAAACAGAGCCTAGATCTGGCCAGTGCTCTGGGAAAGACCTGGATGCCTGAGCCCTGCTGCGGGCCAACATCCTTCTCCTGACCGCCCTCCACCACTCGGCCAGAACTGAGCTTGTAGAGGCTGGGGTGTGTGCTGGGGAGATGGGCAAGAAAGACGCAGCCTCCCTGTGCCTGCTGCGGGTGGAGAGTGGTCCTCCCTTTGTCCGAGGTCCACCCGACCGCCAGTGCCAGGGAAGGCAGGCTTTTCTTCTTGGTCGTGGGAGGACTGTGGAGCTCTCACTTTTTTGCTTTACAAGTGCTGTGAACTGTGTAACTGATTGGGAGGTTCTTTTTACTTTGATACTACAAAGCCAAACTTTTGGCTGTCTTTGACACAATGTACTATTCTATTTTTTCCTTTGTCTAGCTAAATTAAAAGTAGGCAAACTGTACTTATGATATGTCCATGTAAGCTACCAAAAATCCTTCTTTCAATAAAAAGGACATTAATAAACATACAGCCATGTTATGTTGTTGACACATGACCAGGTTTTAGATCTGCCTAGTATTCACCTAACTTATGTGGTCTTTTACCAGCCTCTAGTTAAGAATCAGTTTTTCTTCCCTGGGACAATGTATCCGCCTCTCACAGACAATGTCAATGATAGTTCACAGTTTCCTAAATTCAGTTCTGTCACTCTGTTCTCTGAGACATACATTCAGTTGGGCCCTTATTCCCTCTTCTCTTTTTAACCTCTCATTTGGGGCTTTTCCAAACTCTGTGAATTACTGTGAACTGTTTACGTGCTGGCAGGTGCGGGGTTCTACCCCTTCCCCATGGCAGGCCCCCTCCCGGCCCTCCCCCCCACCGGCAGGCAGTGCCAGGCCTGCGGGACTGGGGATCCGGTCACACACCTGAACACGTGTGGCCAGCAGTCCGGGTTGTGGCTGCCCATCTCCAGGCCGACACTGAGGATGGCATCCATGCACAGGACGTGGGCTGTGTGCAGCCATACCCCCTGCAGCTTCCCGATCTGCTCCAGTTTCTGCTCCACTTTTAGTTTCACTGCGTCAGAAAGACATTCATTAGAATAACAGTCCAAGTAAGGGAGACAGAAGGGGAGGGAGAAAGGAGGGAAAGGAAAGAATGTGCTCTTGTGCAAGGGCAAAAGGAAACGGGGGATGTCACTGGATGTCACTGGCAGCGAGCCCTTCATTGGCAGGTCCCCGAGGCTCATCATGCAAACTCCCCAGCCCACAGGCCCCCAGACACTGGTGACCCCAGCCCCGGGGTTTCAGAAGTCCATGGATTCTGAGCTGGCAGGTACAGTTCCTCTGGGCCCACCCCTGGGATCTGGGTCAGTCACAGCAGTGAGGATGGGCTTCAAGTGCCAATCCCAGCTAAAGCCATCTGTGCCCAGACCCATCCTCTGCCCCTGTGTATTATCATATTGATAATAAGAATTCCTGGGCTTCCCAAGTCCTCTCTGCGGTTTATTTAATGTTAGGTGTTCATGAGGATGATCGTGTAAAACAACAAATGTATGTACACACTCAGCGCCATGATGACCGCTTTGTAACTGAAAATTCCCGTATCATTTCACTCCCTGAGTTTACGTTTATACTTGTGATCTTCAAATAATACTTTTTAAATTGTAGATAATGAATGAGAAAGGATGCAGAAGGTGACTGAAGGTGTCAATTACGCAAAATGCCAAGGCAAGGCCAAACGACAGCGTCCTCCATGAATTAAGGTGTCCAGTCACTGGAAGATGGGTCTAGTGGGAAAACTGAGCAATGGTCCAGAACCCAGAAACACAGCACGCTCACTACAGAGGAAGCCGAACCATGCTCCTACTGTAAAGGGCAAAGTGATTTTTAGCAAAGCAACATTTGTCTCACGGATGTGATATTGATTTTATCTTTTATTTGTCTATAATTCAAATACTAGCTCTGGTTTAAGAGTTTTTGAAGAACTTTAAATTTAAGTATTTTTATGTAACTTATAGTTGTACATTTTAAGTAAAAGTGTGATGCCCTTTTGCAGTTAACACTGGGGATGTGTAAGAGTTGCTTTGTTCTCACATGATTCTATTACTCAAGTTTGAAGAACACCAACCTAACCTGTTTTTCTCAGCTAAAAATGTGCTGACTCTTTCTGTGACTACCTATTTTACATACCTGATACATTGTTAGCACAAGTTGGACCAAGCTTCCAATTTTTCCTTGTTTGCTGTCTGCCATTTATCTTCCACTGCTATTAGAAAGGCCATTCTCTTTCCTTATATCTAGATAACCATCCACTTCATTGACTGACTAATTTTAACAAGTTAAAAATCAACCCTCTCCCAAGTTCACAAAGCTCAGGTTTTTCTCTGACAAGAGCAAAGCCTTCCTGAGCCTCCTCTCAGGGATTCCTCCATCGGTTTGATCCCCCCCTCAGAACCCTGGCCATTCTATCTTTCCCACTGTAGCCTGAGGGGGTCCTCAAATGTGCACCCTGGGAAGCTTCAAAGCCAGTGGCCAGAGGACGCCACAGGTGTGAATAGCTGAGCCAGGTGGGCCTCTGGCTAGCAGCCAGGTGCACTTTCCTAGTCGCCAGGAGCCAGTATGTCTCTTGTGTCCAGAGGGACCTATTGTGAGCAGTCTGGAGGGTCAGCCATGTAAAACTGACCCAAGCCTGTGGTCCAGCGGGATCTCATCACCAGTGGTATACAATACGCCGTGTATCACACATGCCAACAGGGACAAGTGTGTCTGCTCGTGTGTGTGGGCACGTGCAGACCTCACAAAGGCACCAGGTGGATTCTAGCCCTTCTGCTGTTACCTTGTGCTATGGCATCACCGGGCTCCTGGATTTCCCTTTCCTCTTTCTCTTCCTGGACACAGGAGGCAGCTGCCATCTGGGCGAGGGCTGACGCACAGTTGGCTGCAACTCCTTTAGAGGAAACAAACAATCACCCCTTAACTGAGTCTATTCTCTAACCACTCACCTGGCAGAAGCACTTCTAAAAGACTTGTTGTCCACTAGGGCCGTTCCTAATGTGTTCCTCGGGAACACCCCTCGGGCCACGGGTCAGGGATACCGTGTCCGCCATACCTAGAGCACAGCTCAGCCGTGCTGCTTTCCGCAGCCCATCGAGGCTCATGCAGATGGCATCGCGTTCTTTTTGGTTCTGTTCTTTGATGCCTTCAGCTCCCAGAATGAAGGCCAGCCCTTTGGAGCTCCCCGCCATTCGGCCGGTCAGGGGGGTTGATAAAGTGTCGATCAAGTTCTTCCAGCAGCCAACCAGAATGTAGCGAGCGAACGCCACACCTAGAACGTGAAGGGGTGTGGGTCACCTTCCGGAGATAAAACAACCTGGCGATGAACGGCCTGGGATCCTCTGACCATCACATTAGCATTATGGAGCCATGTGCAATTCTACTACAGGAAATACAATGGAAAGGGTTATATCGGATTGTGTTTCACTTTGTGCTGATAAATAATGAATGTTGCACCAGCAGCTGGACGATGCTAGTAACTTCCATCAGGTATTTTTCTGCCAAGATGAAATCTTAATTCATTTACGTCAGTACAGAAAGCTGCCACATAATAATTTAATTGCTGGTAACACGTGCGATGGATGTATATTCATAAACTCAAGAGCCAAGTCACTACCTGCCACTGTGGAGTCATCAATTCTCCTGCCCTGGGTGAAAGGAGACTCCATAGAAGCTGAGGCCATCAGCTGCCCTCCAATTGCACTGCTCTCTAAGCCATCGATATCTGTCAAGGAAAAAGGGCAAGGTTTTTTCTTTTCTTTTTAAAGAACACTCCAGTCAAAAACAAATGGCTACCACAATATTCATTTTCTTCCCAACAAACAGTCATGGGATCTGTTATGTACCAAGTATGTAGCAACCTTTTATCAGAATATTAAAATTTTTGTTTTATCCATTCAGTACAGTTTTCTTTCATTGCTAGAGCATTCTTCTGTGAGGCTGATGCGTTTTTTTATTTGAAAAAATAAAGATAAACTCTGATACCTCTGTTGCTAGAAAATCTATTGATTTAGAATATTTTGATCTTTGCATACTCGCTTTTATTCAAAATCGTGGCATTATTCCCACATTTTATATGTACAGGTTACTCCAACATGGATCTGTTTTTCAGAGCTTCCTCAAAAGAATTAAGAGGAGGATAAGCCTCTTTGGTCAGATAATCATATAGTCTGATTGGAAAGCACAATATCTTACTAAAAATACCTTACAATTTTCAAAGTGTTTTCACATAACATTTTTTTCATTAGATCTTCCCAACAACTCCAAGTACGTAGGCAGGGTAGGTATTACCTTTCCTTATTTCACAGAGGAAGAAATAAGTATTCAAAGTAGGTAAATCGCCCACATCCTGAGGCTGGCAAAGGAAGGAATTAGACTTAGTATTCACGTCTTCTGACACCCATCCAGGTCTCCTTCCATGACACCAAACTTCAGCTCAATATGGGATTCTAATTCACCCTGTTTAAATTTTTGTTAAAATATACTCTCATCTACAGAATTAGTTCAACGAACCATTCCTTAACATACTGGTAAGAAGAGACTGGCCTGGGTTGAGAGGGCTGGGCTTCAATTCAGCCTTGCCTCTGAATTAAGTAGTCTTGTAGCCTTGGGCCAGGTACTCCATTCTCTGGGCCCCAAATTCCTCAGTAAAAAGGAGGTAACCATTGGAGGAGTGACCATGGAGTAGAAGCATATGCATTTGAATACAACTAACATAGGTGAATGCACCACAGAGGGGACGGGAGAAGAGGGTAACATAAGCTTATTCCCTGACTTTAGAACTTCACCTTCACCCCAGTAGGGTGAGACTTGCATGGTGTTTGAAAATTATTTCATTGTATCTTTGATTCTTACAGTAACTCCAGGAAGTCTAGAGACTTCTGGTAACACATCTCTTTGAAAGTTGCTCAGAGAATGGATTGTAAAAGTTCTCACCTCAGTGAGAAAAAAATTTGTAACTATGACAGGTGATTGATGTTAACTAAACTTACTGTGATGGTCATTTTACCATATATGCATGTTATCAAATCATTATGTTGTACACCTGGGATTAACATGTCAATTACCTCTCAGTAAAACTGGGTGTGGGAGGGAAGGCAGGGAGAAATCTATAGGACTACTACAGTGGGAACAGAGCAGTTTCACTGAAATTAATTTGACTTATGGTCAAATGGTCTAATGACATTTGCCAGAAATTGCCACGTATCAAAGTTTTGTTTCCTACGTGCTAGGTAAAGGGCTGACGAATTCTAGTAACACAAAGCTTATCTAAGTGCTAAAATTCCACAATCTATAGAATACTTTGACATGACATGACGTGAGGAATGGCCACAGGTAGTACAGTGTTGATGACCAGGTTACCGCTGTTGCTTTTCCTTACACATAATGGAAAGATTAGACGGATGTTTCCAAGCTCTAGGTTAATTGCTGCTCAAATTCACTTGTCACTTCACACCTGAAATTTGCTACAAAGAATCACAGAACGTAATTCTGTTGAATTCTTATGAAAAGTCTCTGTTTCTCTATCATTAATCTAAAGTTAGATAACTTCCCTATGGATGAAGCAATTGAACTTACCGTTCCATTATAAAAGAGATGGCTGATTAACAGTGATGACTGACGAATACGGCTCCTGTGAAGAGCCTGTTATTTGTTCAATTTTTAAAATTTATTTATTTATTTATTTATGGCTGCATTGGGTCTTCATTGTTGCGCGCGGGCTTTCTCTAGTTGTGGCGAGCAGGCTTCTCATTGCAGTGGCTTCTCTTGCTGCGGAGCATGGGCTCTAGGTGCACGGGCTTCAGTAGTTGTGGCTCGTGGGCTCTAGAGCACAGGCTCAGTAGTTGTGGCGCACGGGCTTAGTTGCTCCGCGGCATGTGGGATCTTCCCAGACCAGGGCTTGAACCCAGGTCCGCTGCACTGGCAGGCAGATTCTTAACTACTGCGCCACCAGGGAAGTCCCTATTTGTTCATTTTTACATCTATTGTATGACTCCTTGTATTAAGATTCAGGGAAGAAATTCAGAGATTAATTTTGGCAGAAACTATGGTATTGAAATTAAAGCTGGCATGTTGAAGACCTTCATCTAAATTTCAAGGCACTTAGAAGCTCTGGACAGTACCTTTAATCTCAACCTGAAGCCAGTTTGTGCAGAGAGACGGAAACCAAGCATTGTTTACAGGTAGACTGAATAAACGTCTTGTAAATGTCTTCATAAATATGAATTCCTATTTTTCAAATGGATGTAAATATTATCATGATTAATAAAATACTAATTGGTCACTTGTCTGGTGATGATGGTCCGCAAGGCTTGGGACCCAGTCTTGCTTCCAATTCCATCCTAGTTCTGCAACCAACACTCCAAATGCCAGACAATGACCAAGACACTGCCTGCTATGGATAGACCTCACTGTATGTCTGACTCCCTGCCTGATTTCTAAATAGTGCCTTCCCCCAAATTCCTCAGTGTTGATCTCCACCTGTCAGTAGTTCACTCTGCCACCTTTGTAAGAGTGGCAACCATAGGCAATATAACATATCCTTTGGGACAACAGATTCTGCCTCCCAGCTGGACTGACCCAGGTTCCTGCTGGTGTGCCCTGTCCGGTGCAAAGCCGTGTTGAGCTGTGTGAGGACATACACACCACAGAGAGGGCAGGGAAGCTGTCCACGTAGGGCCATGCTCTACTTATCGCATCAGTGGGAGCCATGAAAAGATCACTCAGATAGAAACCAGTCTGGGAACTGGGATCAAATTTATTAAGGCTCCTGATGACCAGTCCAAACTTTTGAGCACTCCCCGATCTTGACCTGAATTGTAGTTATGCCATGCAGAGCCATGAGTGGCTGCTTTGGCCAAAACGTTGCCTTATGACCACACCCCATACTTCTCTTTATGTTCTCATATGATATTTCCAATAGTTAAATAGGATGCTAAAAACTCAAGACACTAAAGAAAAGATGCTGGGCAAGCTATTTTACATTCTTTCTTTTTTTTTGGGCCATGCTGCGTGGCTGGTGGGATCTTATTTCCCCGACCAGGGATTGAACCCAGGCCCCCTGCAGTGGAAGTGCAGAGTCCTAACGCCGGGCAATTCCCTTGCATTCTTTTTCACTCTGGTACAGCTGGGAAGGGAAGGGAGGATCTCTGATACCGACAAGAAATGGGGATGAAGCCAAGTTTAAAATCAATCATCTTACATTACTGGCAAATTCTCAGAAGCACTGAATGATACAGGGTATCTATGAGCATGTCAGAGTTTCCAGGAATAATTCTGGGCTTTGCGCCCAGACAGTACTTCATATCCCCAGAAGAGGTCTACAGTTTTATCCCAACAGACATAGGTGCTAAATAATTCCTAATCCAATGGGGCACAGTGAGCCTGCAGAGTCCCACGTGGAAAAAGGAAAGAACGTTCTTATGAGGTGAACTCATGACACGTCCCTGGAACGGCCATCAGCTGCCAGGGGGGCTTTGTGGGTGCTGCTTGAAACACTACTGCTTCCCTGAAAGCGGCTTTGAAGCGTGGGCCCTCCCCACCCCACCGAGTGCCATGGAGCCGTGCAAGGAGCCACTGACCAGTCAGCATGGTGATGAGGGGAAGGCTGTTGTCCTCGGGGCTGCCCCAGTAGCCGGCTTCTCCGAGCATGTTTCTGTCGAGAACCTGGTGGTAAAGTTCCTCGATCCAGGCCTGGGAGAAGACCATCAGCACCCCGCTGGTCTGGACCTGCTTCATGAACTCTTTCTGCAGAGAAGACCACACGAGAAGGTGACCAGATGTGATCCCTTGCAAACAAACAGGCTCTCGTGTTCCTCTGCCGCCTCTTCCCGTCCCGAGTCACTGAGTCACCGCTTATGGGAAAAACACAACCTTGTCGACTGGGGGACAGAGGGTGGCGAGGGAAGCGGAAACTGCAATGGAAAAGCCCCAAACTTCATGAAGGTCCTTTCATTTATGTAATCTTTTTAAGAAACCCTGTAGAAGGAGTAGGGATACTACATTTTATATTTTTGCTCTTTGACATGTGGGAGGATTGGAAAATGCACAGAAATGTTTCACAGAGCACCTCCTTCTTACTGTCCCATCAGCAGCAGAGGTGGCATGTCCTCCCTGAAGGACATATGTGTCTCAAGAGATACTTGACTTACACTCATGAAGCCACCACTTACCCTCGGAAACATACAATTTGTCAATCATTTATCAAACAAATGATTGCTGATCCCTTAATGTCGCTCCATGGATTTAGGCTCTCGAACTGGTACCAGGGTCTGCCACGGAGGGGTCTGCTCACGCCAGGGAGCCAACCACGAAGAATCCTCATCACTGTCATCACCTCACAGGAGGTGTTCTGTTATTAGTGACCTTAGCTCTGGGTCCGAGCGGGTCTTGGTATATTTTGGAACTCAGTGAAGGGTTTTTGTAGCAGCATGCCTGCATTTTCTGCAAAGGGGACCACTCTCCGCACATCTCCTGCTGTCACTTAACACGCTGATTACGTTTCTGAATATGTCTTACACGCGTGTGTTTAATGCCACTGGATGAAGTTACTGGGCCACTGGTACGCAGCCCCTTCCAGGCACACGGGGTTCTTTACTCCTGGAGCTAGGTGGGTAGCTCTGCGGCTCACCGAGCGTGCAAATTGCACAACAGTTCCTGGGCATCGCGTCCGCCCACCCTCCACAGCCCCGCGGGCATCACGCATTCCAGATCAGTGTGAGATAGAACACACCGGCCATTCCTCTCGTGGCAGTGATGCTCGGGTGCCAGCCCAGACGCCGTCGCTGGTCCTCGGCGTGGCGGGGCGGAGACGCACACTCACCATGGTGCCTGGCGCCAGGACGGGCCGCTTCCGGTAGTAGTCGCCGTGGGAGAGCTTCAGGTTGAGCAGCAGGGCGCAGTGCGCGGCCGAGTACAGGCTGTCCGCGTTCATCAGCATCTGCAAGCCCAGGCTGCCGTTCCCGTCGAAGCCCGGGGAGTGCATCATGCCTGTGGGAGAGAACCCAGAGACCTCCAACACCACGCCTGGCAAGACCCGCTTAACGTCCGGCTTACCGCTTACGGAGAGCCACGAACCAATCCCAGGGAAGGGGCACCTCGGAGGGCATTTCTGTAAAGCAACGACAGCCAGCAAGGACTAGCATTCGGGCAGAGACGCGCCCTAGACTGGTGCGGAAGAGCATGCACTCCGGAGTGAACCTACTTGGGAAAATCTTTTTTGTTATTCACCGGGTGCTTTGGTAAAATCACTTAAAGCCTTCTTTACCTAGAAATAGGCAGAATAATTGATTGCCTGTCTCCTGCTCAAGCTCTCCAAATGACTTCCCATCACAATATAAAAAAACCCGACCCCGCCCCTCCCCTCAGCCACCCCAACCTGTCTGTTGTTCCTTGACCTCACCAAGCCTGGATGTGCCTCAGGGCCTTTGCATTTTTGCCTCTCCCCAGAATGGTCTCCCAAGATCTCTGGATGACTAGCGGCCTCGATTCTTTTCTTGAAATTAACTAATTTATTTTATTTTGGGCTGTGTTGGGTCTTTGTTGCTGTGCGCGGGCTTTCTCTAGTTGTGGCGAGAGGGGGCTACTCTTCGTTGCGGTGCGCGGGCTTCAGTAGTTGTGGCACACGGGCTCAGCAGTTGTGGCTTGTGGGCTCTAGAGCACAGGCTCAGTAGTTGTGGTGCTGCTCCGCGGCATGTGGGATCTTCCCAGACCAGGGCTCGAACCCAGGTCCCCTGCATTGGCAGGCGGATTCTTAACCACTGCGCCACCAGGGAAGCCCTGCCTCGATTCTTTTAGGGCTCTGCCCAGGTGTCAGCTTTTCACATACATTCCCCTTTAATTCTATCTAAAATAGCATCCCTCGTACCTACAACCATCCTCTGCAATATTGCCCCTCACCATGCGCTTTTCTTCATTGCCTTAACGGCATTTATTAATATATATATTTGTCTATTGTCTGCCATTACTACTATTATGTAAGACCTACAAGAGAGTGGAACTTTGTTCACTAGAGAACCTCAGTGCCTAGAACAGTGCCTGGTACATAGTAGATCCTTTAAAATTACTTGCTGGATGAATGAATAAGAATGAATGAAGAAGTTTGCTATGGCGACTAGATGCAATACACATTTAAGATGCTTAGTGAAGTAACTCGTAAGTACAAACTTTTCTAAAAGTAATAATGTTCCTCAAAAAGCTGAACACGGAATTACCATATGACCCAGCGGTTTTGCACTCTTAGGAGTGTACCCAGAAGAGCTGAAAACCAGAATTTGAACAGATACGTGTATGCCAGTGTTCACTGAAGCAACTAAAACAAATAATAGTGTAATAATAAATAAAAAACCTTTGAATTGGGCACTTTAAATGGGTGCATTGCATGGTATGTGAATTATATCTCAATAAAAGCTGTTAATCAATGAGGAAAGTTTCAAAATATGTATTAAAAAAGTTATTGGTTTCCCCCCAGCTATTGTTTTGAAACATTCTTTTATATTTCATAGTATGGTTTTCACTTTGAAAGCCTCCTGTGTTTTTCATAAATTAACTGTAAAAACAAAAACCAATGATACCTCATGCTCTAAAGATGGCCTCATTCAGCCAGAGAGAGTTGATGCCTAGGTCAAACTTACACAGACAGCTTGGGGTGACAAAAATTACCCAAGCCTGCTTCTCCTCATCTGGTACTATGTCTGCCCCAGTGCTACACTTGTTCCTACACTCTGAGGCTGGATTTAGGGATGTAGGTGAAACAGCCCATCCTGAATATGTGCATGCACATGACACGCACCTATATACTCTTCAGAGCATGTCTAAAATTATCCTGTAATCAAAAATGTGCCTCTTACATGAAGTGCAAAAATTCTCGGTCAAATAAGTGGGAAATACAAATGTCTAACTGGAATGGTTACTTATATATCTGTGAACTTCTTAATGAATATGCTGGTAAGAAGATATGAATCAGAAGAAGCTTTCAAAGCTGAGAAAACTTTAAGACCTCTGCTCTATTTGAGAACAGTGTAAACATTTTTTGGTGGGAGTAAGTATGTCTATTATCCCAACGAAACCACCAAGGCAGGCAAAGATTAGGCATTCCCTTTGCCTTCTGTATAGAGTTCGGTGAGAACTTTGCAGCTGCCTTACGAGATTCTTTTACTGAGAGTACTTGGCCCTGATGGTCCATAGGAATACTCCACCCTCTTAAGGTCCTGGTGGGTTGGTTCCAGTTCTCTGGAGTAGATAAAGCACAAGCGCAGTCTCCTTCCACAGTACACAGAAAGCAGCACGCAGTGCTGCTGGGTATTTAACTACCCTGGGTCACAGGTGAAAGGAATATTTGAGTCTAGCAACCGGCGGGGGGGGGGAAGAATCTGCAAGTGGCTTTGATCTTAGACATCAGTAATAATTTCTTTTAAAATTTTGAAACCAACTATTTACCTTGGAATATGTTTTGGAACCTGAGCACATGCTCAGATGCTGAAAGTGAAAAAAGCTAATGTGTCTGCTGACATGAAGACCCAAATCATTAGCAGAGGTGTGACAAGGCCCTGGAAGTCACCGCTGGTGGCTATGCCGAGTTCTGAAATAATTTGTTAGATGTGTTAGGGGCAATCTGTTGGTACTGGCGTATATCTCTATGCAGATTAATTTCTTACAAAGAACTGGCAAATTTGACAATAAAACAAAAGAAGCTATAATCTATTAATTTAAGGAAGATAATTTTCTTGATTTACCAGATATAGTTCACTGGTGATATTAATAATGCAAATAACATGATTGGTGCAATTTATTAAATGCTTTCTATTTTCCAGAACCAATCTCTTCTCATACATTATTTCATTTGATATATAATATATATCAATGTATCAATATATATATATATATATTAATTTGATATATATCAGATGCCCCACTTTATTTTACCAGTGAGGAAAGTAACTTGAAAATGTTAAGTAATTTGCCCAAAGTTATACAGCTAGAAATTGGCAAAGGTCTTTTGGGCCCAAACTCCAGGCTTTTTGCACTCTGCCACACTGTACTTGCTTCTAATGTTGGGAAAAGATCCCAATCTATCATGTTCCTAACAGATCCTCTATTTTCATTCATCCTTCTGATTGGCCTCACTGAAGTGTTATTGAATTTGGGGTGACAAATTATAGTAACTACGACCTTTAACATATTCTGGCTATTTGGTTTTTTCTCTACTTATCTGTAACTAAAGTTCATTCTCTCTCTATAGTTAAGATGTCCTTTACTGTTAGCAACAGGAGGATGGATCACCTGTTTGACTGGTTACCAGTGCAAGACTGGATACAAGATTAGCATAAAATGACCTTGAAAAGTACCTTCCATGTCTAAGATAATGTGATGTTTCTTTTTAAAGTAAACATTAAATACTTGATGTAGAACATTTAACAGTACTGAAGGGTATAAACGATATGAACAACAACCCTGCTTCTCCCAAGCCCCAATGAGGCCCCTCCCAAAAAGACCCACTTCCTTCTGTGTATTATGTGGAAATACAATCACAAATGAGATCATATGACATACATTATACTGCAACTAGGTGTTTTCTAAAAAATATACCTTAGACATCTCTTGATACTGGCACTTATAGATCTGCCTCATTCTTTTTTAACAACTGTGCATATGCCACTGCATGACTTATTGTGATTTATTTAATTAATGCTTTATTGGTAGACACTGATATTTTTTCAATTATGAAAAAGGATGAAATGATGAAATAACACTTCTGTAAGAATATCTGTGGGATATGTTCCTAAAAGCAGAATAAACACATATATTAAGTTTGATAGATGTAGCCAAAATATCTTCCAAAGACGGGACGGGCCCGAGTCCCAGACCATCACAGAGCACTGGACGGCCTACCTGAGACTCAATGTAGGGGGAAGTTAATGAATCTTTCTTTCTTAAGTAATCAGTTGAGTTTCCTACTCTATGCATACAAACCTAATCCTAACTGGTAGAGGCGAGATTTTCTACCTGTATTTTACCTTCTATTTTCCACAAAGATACTGAGATAAATCTGCATTATCACGTTTTGGGGTGTTTAAATCATGGGGCCACAACCTGAAGCTGGCAACATACTTGCCTTCTGGTTCCGTATTCACAAAGTCAGAGCTTCTTCCAGAGACTATGGTCCATTTCTGGAAGGTGATGGGAGGAGGAAGCAATGAGGAAGAGAAGGGAGATGCCCTGGCTGGGCAGGGGATGGAGGTCTGTGGCTCTCTGCTACCTGGCAGCACCTGGAGGGTTGGCAGGACCCCGGAGGAGGACACAGGATGTGCAGGGGCGCCCCCAGCCTTGCCAGAACATTCCAGGCCCCACCCTGGCAGGGAGGTAGAGAAATCATGGGACCTCCCAGAAAGGCTGTGAAGTGGGACAACGGGGGCACATTGGTGACGTGAGAGGTGAGGGGCCTCCCTATCCAGATCCCACATAAGCTCCCACTTCTAGTTTTACCCTGGCATGGGGACCTGAGGGCTAGCAAAGATCAAATGTCTGGCCAGTTAGGCAGGCTGGAGGTCTGGAGGCAGATTTGTTTTAATTTAAATAAATAGATATTTCTTGCACAACTGAGATTCATACTAGCTCTACTACCTTTTACGGAATTTGGTACTTCATAAATATCAGGTTGCTTGCAATTAGCCTCACACTTAGTCACAGTCAGTCTCAAGATCCTCACCAAACACCAACAGTCTAAGGAACAGCAATCCCAAAGCCACGTGCCCGTGCCCCTGTCAATGGCTGGGGGAGGTTGGCTCTTGCTTTCTGGTCCCCAAGGAGCACCTTACCCAGATGCCACTTTGTTCTATGCAGGATCAGACGCATTGCAGCAGCCATCACAGCTCACATCCAATACCATCTTTATAAAACCCATGTTTGTCGGAAGGTTTTCAAACTTCCCCACCAGAAGAAACTTTAATTGCTTTCGAAGAAAAAGCTCCCCTGAATCATGTGGAATTCAGGAGGCTCATTTCAACTGTAAGTTAGCTGTTGGAGGACAGGAGCCCCTGAGAAATACCAAGTGAGGTTGACCTTAGCCAGGAGGGCAGACCCTGCTAACAAATCAGGGACAAATGCTCGATGGAAGTTTTGGGGAAAATAAGGTTTGAAGCATTTGACACAGAAGTTAATAATGAGTAAAATATCTGGGTTATGACTCCGGGAGACTCCCTTCTCCCCTTCTCCTATTTTGGCTTTCATAACTTTCTCTTGGGTGAACAAAGGAAATCTGCCATCCCCTTGCCTCACAGGTACAGATGTTTCTCTTTCACTCATCTTTCATCTTGGAGGTGACATGTGCAAGGGAAGGAGAGCTCTGCCTAAGGCCAGACGTGGACCCAGCATCCAGTCGCTTCGGCTGACCCACCGCGACAGTCAGTGTGAGCCACTAAACCACTAAACCATAGTGGTAACTGAAGAGAATCAGCTTATTGGCAGCAGGACCACAGAGTGGCGGGTCTGTAATTCAGATACAGAGACCAACTCCTAACTGGTAAAAGCGCTGTGGAGGTCACCAGAATCAAAAAGACAAATGCCTAACAATTTGGTTAGAGACAATTACCATAAACTGCATTTGGAAACAACCGAAAGATTTTGAAGTCTCTTTTCAATGTATTGATTTCTACATGTAAAAATTAGTGTCACAGCATGTTGGGTTTGACGGGACATTTTATAGACCTCTTAAAGTTGAGCAGTTTGCAACATTCATGGGGCCGCATTCTGGTCACATAAAACATTCACGAAAGTGTTGTTGTGCACGTGCTACAAATAAGTATTGATTTGAAAGACACGAAAACACAAATGTGAGGCTGTGCTTCAAATTTTGTAAAAAGACTTTGCTAGGATTATGTTTCCTAATTCTCATAGGAAATAAGGCAGGCCCTTTGGAAGTCATTGTTTACCACTGTGACAACTCATTTGATCTGGAATTACTAGGAGATGTTGTTTGTAAACATGAATTTATCTGAGAGCTGAATCTTACATACTTAAACGCTGAAACTTCTGCAGCCGAGTTATTTTGTATGGATAATTTTAACTTTAAATAGAAGGGCCTAAATATAATTTTACCATTTCTTGATGACTCAAGGCCATCATTACTGCAACCAGGGGCAGTGCTGTGATCTGATACACAGCTGTTTTGGGGGATCACTGATGGGTGCCAGACTCTCCGCCTTGGCACCAGGGACATCAAGCTGGTCAGAGCAGGCTGCCAAGCTCCTCCCCGCAAGAATGCTTCCAGCTGGGAAGAGGCACAGGGTTAGAGGCCCTGCCAAACTCCTTCCAACTCAGGCTTTACCCTTGATTCTCTCAGCACATGAACTATTCATAGCTTTAGGAACCAAAAAGCAAGTTCATCAATCTACAGTCAATAAATATGTATTGAGGATAAACCATGCATATCTTGCACCCTTAGGACATAGCACAGTGAAGTTTCTCTAAAAATGTTGACTGAAGAAGCATTTGTGTGTGCACGTGTGTGTGTGAGAGAGAGAGAGAGAGAAAGAGAGAGGGAGGGAAAGAGAGAAACAAAAAAGACATACACAAAACACATACACTGGGAATGTTCAATAAAAGAATGTAAAATCTAATGATGGTGGCATAAAAGATATTAAGATATTAAGATATTAAAAGATATTAGGGAGAAATATAATTTTTTTTTTTTTTTATGGTACGCGTGCCTCTCACTGTTGTGGCCTCTCCCGTTGCGGAGCACAGGCTCCGGACGCGCAGGCCCAGCGGCCATGGCTCACAGGCCCAGCCGCTCCGCGGCATGTGGGATCTTCCCGGACCAGGGCACGGACCCGTGTCCCCTGCATCGGCAGGCGGACTCTCAACCACTGCGCCACCAGGGAAGCCCTAATTTTTAAGAAGAGTATTTATATATTTTTCTAGTTTTTCAATGAAACATGATTTTTTGGTGTGTGTGTATATTCCTTCACACAAATCAAATATCCAAACTCTATTTTTATATCTAATTCCAAAAAGAAAAATATTGAGAAAAAATGTTGGGTAGCCTTAAAAATCGGTATTTTCATGCCTTAAAAAGAATCACAGTGCAGTCAGGAAAGTTGAGAAATTATATGCATCTCTTCTAACCACTAGGTAGGTCAGAGAGTTACTGAGCAGCCCAGGATTAGAAGTGCCATATCTCTGCTGGTGCTTGCTGCTACAGTACTGGATCATTCTCATATCAAAAAATGTTCTTCCTTAAATATACCTGGATCAAAGTGTTTTTCTTGTCCTTTTGACAAAGGACAATCTGATCAGCTTCTTAAAGATACCTAAGCTCCCTTTTAACAACACAGCAGTCCTTTCTACCAAGTTCCAGGAACTGGGCTAGAATTTTTTTTGTATTTGTGTGTGATGTTATTTGTTAGAAGATCAAAAATGGGGTAGACAAATGTAGGAAGCATCACGACAAACACACGTTCAAGGCTCAGTGGTGGAAGAGCAAGCGGTGATCTTGGCTTTTGACGGTTCCATGCTGGTCCTCAGGGTCAGTCCTTTCTAGTCCTGAGCACAGGCCCAGGGAGGTCCATGCACCTCAATATCCTGTGGTCAAGAGACCCCTGAATTTCAGGGGAAGGCACAGTTGATCACCCTGGGGTCAGGCAATCAATTATTCCTGCCATAAATTTTTTGCACCCATTAATTGCTTTCTTTCTGTAGCACTGTGAGATAACAGAAAATATATACATTGGTCTCCGCCCCCAGTTCCTGGCACAGAGCTCCTAAGACCCTTGTGGTTTCCTAAGTGATAAGAACACTGGGAGCATCCCTCGTCCTCATATGTGTCTTCGATCTCATCCGTGACCCAGGGCTCCTAAAACTCTTGTAAATTCCTAAGCAATAAAGAACACGAAGAGCATCTTTTGCTTTAATGAGGCGACTCTGGGTGGGCTCCTGGATGACTCCTCAATGGGAGTAAAGAATTTTGGGTTCCACCCCCATCACCCCATCGTCAAGAAAGGGGAGAGGGGCTGAAAATGGAGCTAATAATTGATCATGCCTGCATGAGGAAGCCTCCATAAAATCCCAATAGTAGGGGGTTTGGGAAGATTCCAGGTTGCTGGACACATCCACTCCGGGAGGGTGACACACCCCAACTCCACGGGGACAGAAGCTCCTATGCTCAGTGCCCTCCCAGACCTCACCCTACGTAGATCTTCATCTGGCCGTTCATCTGTATCCTTTATCATATCCTTCTGTAAACTGGTAAACAAAAGTGAGTGTTTCCCTGAGTTCTGTGAGCTATTCTAGCAAATTAAGCAAGCCTAAGGAGGGGGTCATGGGAACCTCCGGTTTACAGCCAGTCCATCAGAAGCACAGGTAACTTGTGTTACCTGGGCTTGCAGCTGGTGTCTGTAGCGGGGGTAGCAGGTAGGTAGCGTCAGAACTGAGTTAAACTGTAGGACACCCAGCTGGTGTCAGAGGCTTGCTTGTTGTTTTGGGGGAAAACTTCCACACATTTGATGACCAGAAGCATCAGAAGTACAGTGTTCTGTGTGACCCATAAAAGAAGGAAGAAACACAATAGGAAAGAACTGGGGTTTTCCCTACATAGAAAGGAAAAAGCTGGGTTCTCCCTTTATGAGTACCTTTCAAGAAAACAATCTTTAAATTAATTATTCCGTGTGAAATGCTGCTACCCTGTATTCTTTATCTCCTTCCTCCACCAAAATCCTAGGTGACGATCATCTACCCTTCAATAAAACTAGTATAACTCTCTGGTATACTTTGGCCAAGATGCCAACAGCACTCCTGTTTAAATTACAGTCTGGGTCACAATGTTGACATTTGACAGACAGGAAGGATCTGAGATTGGAGAATGTGATGTTGCCATAGTATACTGGAGTATCACACACACACACCGTTTGACGTTCAGGGGAATTCAGAATATATTGGGAGGACAGCCTGCATCTGCTCCAAGACCTCATTTGAAATAATTTACACGTCAATAAACCAAGTGTGCAGTGCTCTATGATTCTTAGACATCAAGGCGTAGAAGCATAAGAAGAATTCAGTGTTTTGAGAGTGACAGATTGTCATTTTGTTTCAGTCAGTAGCAGCTTTCTAGAATGCAGTTACCTCTTACCCTTCACTCCGCACCATACAAATTTATCAACCTCACAGTGTATTCCAGCCATCGACGGCTGTGCACTTCAAACAAACCACCAACGGTAAGTTAACATTCCTTTGCTCTCTCTAAATATAAGAAACCCAAAGATTCATTAAGATGCTCTGAGCACTTCAAACTTCACGCATGCTGGTAACTGCCCCTTAAGCAAAATGTTCTGAATAGTCTTGTTGACTATGTAGCAAAAAATGATTCACAAACCTGAGCAGAAGGTAGAGGCAAAGTTCTGGAGGGCCGAGTCCACCTCTTCCACGCTGGGCAGGGCCAGGAGGCGCGGCAGGAGGCTCTCCAGGGACTGCACGAACAGCCGGGCGCTGTGTTGATCGGCTTCCTGGTTCTTCAGTAGTTTGAGAGACAGAGCCGCAGTCCGCAGGGACCTGTGGCCCAGGCAGTCCCGAGGGGTCTGCTCCCCATCAACTAGAGAACAGTTGTCGGACCCGATGTCCGACACGTCAGACCTCCCCGAGTCCTTTTCTGCTGCCATCGAGTACTGATCACAGGAATCAAATTCCGTCCTAGAGAGGTCTTGGTCATCTATGCTGAAATTGCTCTCACTGTATCTGGATCCGTAGGACCTCATCCTGCAGTCAACGGACAGGAAGTTAGTTATATCGGGGTAGGCAACCATGTGGCTCCTTTGAACCACATCTGGCTGGTCCACGGCTTCTGGTTCTGACACTTTACTTAGAGTCTCCTTGCCCTCCTGGACGGCTGGCGACTTGAGGCCATTCTTGTGGTTTTCGGAGTGGTCCTCGGGTGTGGTCTGACCCAACTCTCCCTCCAAAGTGGTTTGACCCGTGTCCGTGGTAACGCTGATGCTGATGTCAGGGCTCCGCTCGTTCCCCGGCTCCCAGGGCGTGTGTTCCGAGGACAGGACTCGCCGCTGCCAGCGGAAGTCAGCCTCATTGATCTCCATGGAGTCTCGGCTCGACTCGGCCCCGTCCTTCAGCTCCTCCAGGCGCAGAAGCAGCAGCTGGACCTGACTTTCGCTCAAGCCCTTGCCCTGGCTGAGCTCTTCTAAGGCCCCAAGCAAGGTGCAGACACAGGACACGGCAGCATAGCAGGCTTCGATGCCACCCTTGATGCACGCCTCAGTCACGCCATCCATGATGCTGAAAGCGTTCAAAGGAGAAGACGGCATCAATACACGAAACATAGAAAAATGCTCCAAAATGAATAAGAATTGTTAGACTGGTGAACAGTCTAATATTCAAAACAGATACTGTAATTTACTTGAAATCTGGGCAAAAAAATAAAATGAACAGTAAGTGAAACAAACATGGTCAGGCTGGAAAGTGGCCCACCTTGAATCACACTCTCAGTTGGCTGGTTTATTTGAGTACAAATAAAGATTGTGGATGGGAATTTATAATCTTCACAAGGACAGGCACAGAATCATCTCACTTTTGTATTATGTTCAGTTTTCCAAAGAGAAAACATTTATAATGGCTATAGGATAATATGGACCTTCCTCTATCAAAGAACTATATTTCTGAAGAGATGCATGTGACTACAACTATTACAAATCAGATAATATTCCATTTCCTAGAGGGGCTATATGTAAAGGAATCATATAGCTACAGTATTGTAAATCAAAAAGGATTTCCCTAAAATAACCCCAATGAAGAATTTTTGGACATTTCATCTGGTACACTTTTTCTTGAAGTCAATGAAAATATGGAAAGTTATACGATTATAAAAAATTGAGGTAAGACTTCTCCTATGGCCTGCAGGTACATTATTAGTCCCATTTCATATAATATAGATTCAAACAATTTCAGGGATTTGGAAACAACGTTAAGAATATTCAGAGAAGCAGTCTTCACCAATCAATACAGACCCCCAAATGAGAATGTATCTTACAGTTTGAGAAGATCCAGATGAGACTTTCGTTTTGAAATTGATCTTTTTTTGGATTCGGGTTCAGTGGAGCTGGGTCCTGCCAAATCACAGAGACGCTGCGGGCTCCCAAGTAGCTTTAAGAATAAGGAAAAAAGAATAACAGAAAAGTGAATATCATAAAAAAGCAAAAGAACCGTGAGATCAAATAAGCATGTACATTCTCTATTGCACGATACAGTCTAAGGAGAAACACAACTATTTGGAATTCAAATCTTAATAAATCTGACCTAGGTGTTCTTGACTTGGAATGCACATTGGGTTCCTGGCTCCCCAGTTCAGGACTGGCTTAGATAAAGAGTATCCCCTGAGGGATTGTTTCAAAATTTTTTATAGCACAGAACCAAAAAGCACCTGCATCTATGCTTTTCAGTAAGCCTGGCCTGTAATTTAACTTCCTGATCCTCTCCCTGTCTTATTTTGCTATCAAATTGGCTAGCTTCAAAAACTGGGTTGAGAAACCAGTTCCCTTTCTATTCCCTGGAAAAGTTCATGTATTATTAGAACTAACCCATTCTTTGAATGTTGGTATAACTTGTTTCTAAAGCTGTATGGGGCCACTAATTTTTTTTCCTTAATGGAAAAGATTTTAACTACTGACTCAATTTCTTTAAAGATGATAGGACTACTTAGGTCCTCAATTTCTCCTTGAACCAATTTTTTAAAGGTTGTGTTATTTCCTAGGGATTTATCTATTATATCTAAGTTTTCAAATTTACTGTCCTAAAGGTGCCTTACTATCTTCCTTAATTTCTTTAATATTTGCAATATCTATGGTTATATGCTTTTTTCCCCCATTCTTATTTCTATTTATTTGTTTTTACCTATTCTAGAATTTTCAATTGCTTTTGCCAGGAGTTCTTCGATTTCCTTAGTCTTTTCAGAGTCCTGGTGTTTTTCACTTTATTAATTCACTATATTACATTTGCTTTTTATCACATCAGTACTTACTGTTTTCATGCTTACTTTTCCTCCTTTCTACTTTTTTGAACTTAATCTGCTCTTCTTTTCCAAACTACCTAAGTTGGAGAATTAGAACATTAACTTTAGGCTTTCTGTTTTTTCATGTAAGTCATTGAAACTATAAATATCCTTCTATGCACTGTTTTGGCTGTATCTCACAAGTCTTCATGTATAGAATTTTCATAATTTTTCAGTCCACACTAATTTTTATTTCCATATGGTAGGCGTCTGTACAGAAAACTTCAATTTGAGACTAAGAAAGATTGATTAATTAAGTATATTGAAGCAGATATCCTACTGCTATGTCCATTATTTTCAAAGTGACTTATACTTGCAAGAAAATGTATATCAAGTAGAAAAAGTTACATGTTTTTCTCTTTCCATATTTCTTTCTTCTGCCAGAAATTGGGAACTTCTGCTCTCTTGGAGGCACAAAGATGAAGCTTCCACTTTTTTCCTTTGACATCAAAAAAGCAGTGATAATGCCAGAGGTCAAGGCAGTCTCTCTCTTTCTCTCCCCCTCTCTCCCTCTGCCTGCCTGCAGGCTGGCAGCCAAGTGAAGTGGCTACGCCTCTGGGCCTCTAGCTGTCCCATCTCTTGTTAGAAGGACAAGTGCATTTCAGGGCCACAGGAGTGGGAAATCTCACTTTCTCTTGGGATCCCATTACATTCCCTAATCCAACTTTACCAGTAATAAATTAGATGACATATTTTAATTCTCACATTGATCTTGTGTTTATTTTTCAGGTGCTTCAGAACCTGGAGCGAAAGGAGACTGAGTGGTTAGGCTTCTGGAGGACTCTCAATAAATACTTAAAGAAAAGCAAGACATGTTTAACCTCATCTTCTTCCGGTGGAAATGAGGAACGTGGTGTCAGGGGCTAGGGTGTCACCGGTCTGATAAAGACTAGGGCTTCCTTCTAAAGCCGAAACGTGGGAGAGAGAGAAAAGGAAGCAAGGTGTTCTTTTTGATGATGGAATGTTTTGTGGGGGAAAGTAGAAGCAAAAAAGAAAATGTACTTTGAAAAGCAAAATGTCCTGTATGCCTTTGATTAATAGGCACAGAGCACACGTGGTGGAGTGACGAATTAGAGAGAACAGGGAAATAATACACGGGCGTTCAAACTCCAAGAGGGTAAACAAACATCCTGGGCGCCCAGTGGTTTTCTCTGTGTGCATAAGCCCTGCACATTTTGGTTTCTAGGTTACCAACCTTCCCAAGCTATTGGTATTGCCACAGTAAGTGGAGGCAATGCTTCTGAGAACAACCTGGCCCACGTGAGTCTGCCACGCTCCGCGGGGCAGCACGGCCTGGATGTGATCCCCTGGTGTCAGTTCCAGCCTCGCCCTGCAAACTGACCTTGGGAAGCTAGCAAATCTATGAAAAGGGAAAACCACAACTAATTTCCTTTGCAGTACTAAAGAAGTTGTTATTGAAAGTACACTGAGAACTACACACCTTGTAGGCAAAGTATTTACTTAGCATTCAGCTATCTAGTGGCTCTACCGTGGGCAATAATCTCTCCAGTGCCTGTCAACTCTGAGGGGGAAAGAAGGGATGCTGCTGCTTCAAAACACCCTGTTGGCAGATATTCTGTCTTCGGGTTTCTCCGTCATTCAGTTAAAATGTACACTTATCCTCATTCAAGCACTGTAGTGTTAGGTACCAGGGGAACACACAAAAACAATGTATACAAAACTATATTTAGGGAGACAAGAAGCTTGTTCCACATTGTACTGTGAAGCAGTCAGTGTGATGAGACATATAATCAATTGCTAAATGGTGGGATGGGATTTACAGAAGAGCGAAATCAATGGCCTGAGGAAGCAGAGCCATAAAGAAAGAGGATTTTAACAGAGAGGCAGCTGTAATTAGAACATCTGGGTTTATGTTTTAGTCATACTGCTCACAAGGACTCTGGGCAAGTAAACCTCTCCTCATGTAGCCTCAGTTTCCCCATCTGGAAAATGGGCATAATATTATATCCCTAAAGGAGTTTGTAAATAAGCTAATATAAAGTGCCAGCAGTGTCTGCCTAGCTTATTGTGATCAACCATTTAACTGGGTGAAGTGGAAGTGTGGCCAATGGGCACAGAACAGGGGGAGCTAGAACAGAAGCAGGAAAGTAGAAATTGAACAAAGCAGGGTCAATTAGATGGAATGAGGGTCCATCCTGGGAAATGACGGGACATGAGAATGATGCCAGATCTGGAAACTGGGCAGAGTATTTCAAGCTTGATGGGAGAGGCAATAGGCACCATTAAAGAGTGGAAAATTAACAGTGGCGATTTACAAACATGAAGTCCAGGAAAATAAAAGGAAGAAAAAAAGACAGGCAGGAGTCAAGGAAACCAGGTCGAAGGGTACACTGCTTCAGGCAGGAGGTGATGAGAACCAGCTGTTTTCAGCCTCTGTATGTTTTTCTCTTCCTCAGGGTAGCAATAAGTTTACCAGATGTTTATCACTTTAAAGACTCACAAAGTACTTATACAAACTTTACTGCATTTTGAACTGGCAATCTTTGGAATACTGCCACTATGTACAGATAATAAAATGGTTAAGTTCAGAGTTAAATGATTTAGCTAGTATAACCTAGCTGATAAGTGGCAGAGAGAGGATTCATACCTTGACTCAGACCCAGGTTCATTAAAGGGGTAGCTGAACCAGTGCTAGGAAAGGAGTCGCTAGAATCATCTACATTGTAATACGAAAATCAAGTCCAGTGAGAAATGTGTGTAGGGAAGACCACAGGCTTAGGGTCAGATGGAGATCTGCACTCTTTCTCTTTCTTTTGACCCTGGGCAAATCATTTGACCCCTTGAAGTCTTAGTTTCTTTGTGGAAGGGAAAACTTTCTTTTTGGGGTAATGTACAAGCTGAGTATGAAATCATTTTGAAATCCAATTCTGGCAAAAGTGAATAAACATATACATCTGTGGGGGCCTCTGGAGTTTGAAGAAAAAGCTACAAAGATAAAGTACACCAGCAATGGTATACTGATGCCTTATAATCAAAGTCTACATTTTTGTCAGCACTTAAAAAATTTATAAGAATCTATACACTGATTAGTAAGATGGCAGAGCAGAAGGACACGCTCTCACTCCCTCTTGTGACAACACTGGAATCACAACTAACTGGTGAACAATCATCGACAGGAAGACACTGGAACACACCAAAAATGATACCCCACATCCAAAGACAAAGGAGAAGCCACAGTGAGACAATAGGAGGCACACAAGCAATCACAATAAAATCAAATCCCATTAACTGCCCGGTGAGTGACTCACAAACTGGAGAACAATTATACCACAGAACTCCACCCACTGTAGTGAAGTTTCTGAGCCCCACGTAAGGCTACCGAAGGCTGGGGCTCTGGCAATGGGAGGAGGAATTCCTAGAGAATCAGACTTTGGAGGCTAGTAGGATTTGACTGCAGGACTTCGACAGGACTGGGGGAAACAGAGACTCCACTCTTGGAGGGCACACACAAAGTAATGTGCGCATCAGGACCCAGGGGAAGGAGCAGTGACCCCACAGGAGACTGAACCAGACCTACCTGCAAGTGTTGGAGGGTCTCCTGCAGAGGCGGGGGGTGGTTCTGTCCCACCGTGAGGACAAGGACACTGGCAGGAGAAGTTCTGGGAAGTACTCCTTGGCGTGAGCCCTCCCAGAGTCCGCCATTAGCCCCACCAAAGAGCCCGGGTAGGCTCCAGTGCTGGGTCGCCTCAGGCCAAACAACCAACAGGGACAGAACCCAGCCCCACCCATCAGCAGTCAATCGGATTAAAGTTTTACTGAGTTCTGCCCACCAGAGCAACAGTCAGCTCTACCCACCACCAGTCCCTCCCATCAGGAAACTTGCACAAGCCTCTTAGATAGCCTCATCCACCAGAGGGCAGACAGCAGAAGCAAGAAGAACTACAATCCTGCAGCCTGTGGAACAAAAACCACATTCACAGAAAGATAGACAAAATGAAAAGGCACAGGGCTATGTACCAGATGAAGGAAAAAGATAAAACCCCAGAAAAACAACTAAATGAAGTGGAGATAGGCAACCTTCCAGAAAAAGAATTCAGAATAATGATAGTGAGGATGATCCAGGACCTTGGAAAAA